TGTGTTTGCTACATTGATGAAGGCTTAGTAACTTTAGAAACATTAGTGGTGCTGTCTATGAAGAATGACCATGACTTGTGGATGACTATTATTGATTTCAAGATCAGTAGGTCAAGGTCACAGTGACCCTGAGTGTAAAATTTTTGTTTGCACAATGGTTTGGACATTGCTCATTCCTTAATTGACTTTAAGGTCAGTAGGTGAAAGGTCATGGTCTCGGTGATTTTTAATTCACTGAACTTTAGAGGTTTGTGAAAGGTAAAGGTCACAGTGACATTTAGTTTAAAATCCTAGGTTTACAAAATTTGGTAGGAACAATTGATGACTCCTATTAATTTAAGGCCAGGGTCACAGTGACACTAAGTATAAAATCATTGTCTGATGAATAACTTGAGAATGACAAGTCCTGCATTTGGGAAACTTATAGAAGGGACATTGTCCATTGCAAGGTTATAATCCCTCAGTACTGACTTTTAGATCATTAAGAAAGTGTCACATTGGACTTGTCAAAATTGCTGTATGATGAATAACTTGTTTGAGTTGTTTTCTTTTATTATAACGCTTTTCAAATGATTGTTTTTATTTGTTTGGGTTGTCAGACCAAACAAATGATGGTAGCGAAATTTCAGACTCTAATGCTGTTAATTGCAATTGCCGAAAGTAGTCCGCTTTTTTGAAGCGGTTACTTCCCTTTATATGTAACACAAAGGCCGAAAAATTCAGGGGAGATCACTGCGTAAATATGGTCAAATGACAGGCGCATTAATTTTCAAGCAAAATAATTCCCGAATGGTCGATGATTTCTAATATTGTTTTATTCTTTATAGATATACATGCTTATAGTAAGCGCCATGACTATTTACAAAAGTGTTTAAAAACAGTTAGCGTTATTACAAACCCTAATTTAGAATAATATGGTTTTCTTTAGGCCTTTAACATATAAATTCACCGTGGCCGAGGGGTTTGCGCGCTCGCTTAGGAAGCGAGAGGTCTGGAGTTCAAATCCCAGTTAAGGCAACTCATTTTTTTTTCAAATTGTTTAAGTCAAATAAACATTGGATTGAATATCAGTGTTGCAATTAGTCTTATAGCCAATCTACTACAATTAAAACGCTGGAAAGCATTGGTGGCACTATATACAAATACAAATTGTTTTATAATCTCACAACCTTAACCTTTCTGACATTCTGAGACCCAAACAAATTCAGCTCCTTCTGTGCTTTGATTTGGTCTGTTGGGTGGTTGATCAGAAGACCAGTTGCTTTCCCCTCAGTTGCAAGAGAACCATTTGACCTATAGTTTTGAAACTTCCTGTTATTAGGTGCTGATGTGTAAAGGATCAAATTCACAGTGACCTTAAATGTGAAAACCATTTCCACTCAATAACTTGAGAACGTGACTTAAACAATTATCTTCAAACTTCTTAGGATGATCACCCTCATTGAGTAGAAAAAAAACCTTGCTGCTACTTATAAAGTATTGAAGGAATTTCATTTCAACTTTATGCACTGATAGAAAATTGCAAGAAAAAATCTATAATTCTGCCATACTTGATTTTTGATACCTGTTTGTTAGGTAAATACCTTGGGAGGTCCTCTTGCAATGTATGGAGATATAAGTCACCTCGGTGAAGGTAAAGGTCACAGGTGACAAAATATTGTTTTTAAATGTTGGTCCTTAACAGATATCAAATACCTGATATTTTACTTTCAATGTGAGTGTCTTTTTTTTGTTTAAAATGTGGGGAAATGTATACAGTACAGGTGAATGTACTGGAAACACAGCTTAGTACCAAGCTGGCTGTGAAAGTAAAAAAAGTAAATGTTTCATAATGGTAATGCTCTTCTTAGAAGTTCTTTAAAAGTCCTTATATTGTGCTGGAAGTTTGCCAGTTAAGAAAATGTAAAAATTTATTTCAACTTTTTATTGTTATCAGTGAGAAAAATATCTGATGCCTTGTAATCAATTTTCATTTGAAGTAGCGATAGAATTAAACTAGTGATCAAATGTCTCCGGATTGATTCCAGAATGAAATCTATAACAAACACTTGACAATAATACCATTACCTTGTCAATGCAATTGCCTGAATCTAGCTAGTAATGTAATAATGCCTGATTGATAGATGATTGTCCATTTTTATCCTAGCCCGAAGCAAGAGTTTTCTGTTCTTAATTGGCTGTGATGGCTTGAAATAAGATCATATAGAATCAAAACAAGAACCAAAAAATGAAGAAGGAAAAAAAAAATCATCATCGGCACTTTAAATGTCAGTCTTCATGTAAAAAAGTTGAAACATTATTTAAATATTGATTTTAACCCTACCGCATTAAATATCTTAAAAGTGGACTTGTCCATCTTTACTCTGGACAAGATCATTTAATATTATTCAGGGAAAATTGCAAAAAAAATGGCCTGACTCAAGGAAATAGTGCAGATGATGATCACAGACAGGACAGATGTGCTGGCTGATCTTGGTCTGTTCTAGTAGCATGGATATGTTCTTTAGCCACTAGCAAGCCAACGGTTTTAAACTATAAAAGGGTGTATGTTTAACATTTTTTTTTTTCAATGTCTTTTTATGTTTGTACAATAAATTTCACAGTCTTGCAAAAAGTGATAAGGTAGCTATTTTTAGTTTTTTTTTAAGTGATTGATGTTATATATTTATATTAGTTGGTCCATCCATTTCCCCTCATCTTGATAAGATCAAGCATACCATTTAAATCTCTAGGGCTCTATAAAAGATAATTTTTTTGTTCAGTGCTTTTAACATATTTCCCAATGGATATTCCTGAAATCTTGTTTAACTTACTTAAAAGTGCTTAATATAGATTAATTACTAAATTTAATGTATTTTCCCTCAGCTAAGTAAGTAATTTGCATGTGAAAATGCAGCTAAGCCCAATTATGCAAAGATGTTTTATGTAATGAAGTTTTGGATATTGATAACATATTGTAAGAAATTGCATTATTTTGATTTCAATAAAATGGTTTATTATATACTTTTAAATGAAATTTTGAGAAATATTGATGAAATAAAATGCATATTTTCATTTTCCGTATTTTCACTGTAAAAATTTATTTTTCACTGCAGTGAAACATATTTTCCGTATTTTCACTGGTGTCTTGCCGGACTACTTTCTTTTAAATTCTGCCAGTACTCAAAATTTAAGGGAAAGTCTTGCAAATTTTTATATCCAGAAAGAGAAAAATGTATATAATAAACAGAAAATTCAAGTCTTTTCTATAGATACATGATTTATTTTCATCTTGTGGCATGAAAATTACCATATTTCACTCGTGGCTACCACCACTCATGAAATATTTATTTTCATACCACTCGATGAAAATAAATCATGTATTTATAGAAAAAACTTGAATATCCTCTATTTATTATATACTTATAAATGAAATATTGAGAATTATTGATGAAATAAAATGCGTATTTTCATTTTCCGTATTTTCACTGTAAAAATTTATTTTTCACTGCAGTGAAACATATTTTCCGTATTTTCACTGGTGTCTTGCCGGACTACTTTCTTTTAAATTCTACCAGTACACAAAATTTAAGGGACAGTTTTTCAAATTTTATCGCAAAAAAGAGAAAAATGTACATAATAAACAGAAAATTCAAGTTTTTTCTATAAATACATGATTTATTTTCATCTTGTGGCATGAAAATTACCATATTTTACTCGTGGCTACCGCCACTCATGAAATATTTATTTTCATACCGCTCGATGAAAAAAAAATCATGTATTTATAGAAAAAACTTGAATATCCTCTATATATGGACATAAGATTTTTTCTCTAGATTTGTTATTTACATTTCATGCTCCACTTTGAGCACCATCTGTCAAAGTGCTGTAAAGTACATATTCATGTTTCTTTTATCTCTATGCTTTTTTGTATAATAAAAGAAATAATTATTGGTGTTTGTTTGCTGTTTGTTTGGTAACTAGCAAAAGCTGATTGAAAATTCTCAGCTAAAACAGTGCACTTAAAACCTTTTACCCAGCAAACATCCGGAGTTTAAATGTTTTAAACTGAGTTGCACAGGGTACTTTAAACATTTTACAGAACTAGCACCTGTACTTTAAACAAAACTGTGTTTAACACAGTTGTATCTTAATGTACGTGGACTCTTTTAACAAAGTTTCATGATCTTTCACCATTGAAAGAGCTTGAAAGGTCTGTCCTGTAAGAAAAAGGGTCTTATTTTTAGCAATCAGAAGCAGGAAAAATTTCAAGATATCAGAAATACCAATAACTACTTTGTCACGTCATGCATGTCATTAAAACAGTAATTAACAGTAATCATCACTATGATGATCACTATGAAATACATCTGTCCTTAAAAATGTATGAATACAATATAAAATATGTTGTGGAAATGAAACATTACTGATGTATGTGTTACCATGCTTTGATGAGAATTTCGTTGTAGTATTAAAGTGAATTGGTCTATAACTGAAAGTCTGTAATACAATAAATAATTATGTTGACAGTATTTAGTATCATATGTGAAAACAAACTGCGTAATATAAAGATGCTATTGGTAAGTGTTAGATACATGATACAATGTGACATATCAATATATGGCAGATAATAAAGTGTTCTAGAACAAAATATTATTATTTATGGTATTATATGTTTATACTTAATCACTGTATCAACATTTTGCTTTTCAGAAATATTTCATTAGAATGTCAAAATAATACATTTCTGTTGTTTTCATTGATATTTTAAATATTTTTGGAAAATGTGCCCATGGTAGACCAATCCACTTTAAGTGCACTAGCAACTAATGACGCAACTAAAAGCCTATGAAATTTTAATTATATTTGTATCAGTCTCAAGTGTAAAACTTCATTTAATTGTGAAGAGGGTCATATCATGCTTAAACAGCTCAGACTTTATTATGATTATTTCATAACTTAATCATTTTATACCACAAATATGTTGTTTTAATATAGCTGTACCTATTTTATGTTTTCAGGCTATAGTGCGCAACCAAGAAGATTATTCCTGTTTGATAGCTACCCAACCAGATAATGCCAGAAGAAATATATGCCAGGATGTTATATCATGTAAGTTTATAATCATATATAGATTAATTGCTATAAATAACATGATTTTAATTAGTTTAAAAGACTCCTTAAAGTTTTGATTTATTAAGTGTTAAAGGGCCTCAACTGAGGTTCTTTGACATGATGGGACTGGAAATGATTTTCCGAGATTGCTGTTCCATTTGATGTGGGGGTGTATACCAGTTACTTGTGTACATAATTTCAGATCAGTTGCTTACTCCCTTTTTCCAGATTAATTATTCTAATTGCGAAAAATAATCTCAAACAGGTCAAGGTCATTATGATTGTGGTATTGACACCTTCAAGGTCATATTTTGATGTGACATTTAAGCTTGAACTTTGCATGCTGGCATCTGAGTGATCAATCTTGCAAAAGCTTAGCTTAATAGCTGTTTCAATAATGATTTCAAGTCTGTTGTGAAATTTAAACTGAAAATACACCAAGGTCATAATGTTACGTAAGATAACATTTATTTGAGCATATATTCACTATTTTAATAGTTTTCTTTGTGATTCTGAGTTTTATTGCACATTGTTTAATAAAGCGTATATTTTTATACAGCATATTGTAGTACATGTGTACTGAAAACAAGTTTCAAATTGTGTTGTTTTGTAGTAAAGTATACTTTATTTCTCAGGAAAGGTAGCATAAAAATCTGGTTGTGGTTGTTTGTTCAGTAATAAGTATAATCTAGATAATGAAATTTAGTCTTTTCCTCATGTTTTTTCCTGATTTATCTGTCTTATGCACTAAGCTAAAATTCCCCGGAAATATATATATAATGATGTTAAAATTTAATCAGTTCCTGGTTTACCAAAGAACTAGAGCATTTTATCAGGAAATGATCGTAAATGGAAGATCCAGTTATGGAAAGTAAAAAGTTCTCATTACACAGGTGCACACTACTGTCTGCAATAAAACGGTTAAAATATGACCTTCAAATGATATATATCACTGTAAATCAAATGAATATTTCACTGTAGATCAAATAATATATCACTGTAAAATACTATATCATTCAATACCCATAACAGTTAATGGTTCCTGTAACAGTGTTGTTGTGTCACCTTAATTTTATTCATGGGCATAGCTTGATTTAAATTTGTATGTAAGTTGAAATTCTTAGAGGATCTGGGGGCATGTAGCCCCTGGAATTTTTTTTGGTTTACTCTGGATTGTTTGAGGTGCCTTTTAGCATATATTAAGTACAATATAATATATTTTCAGGAAATAAATATTTTTTCTAAAAACGTCTTTGGAAAAAAAGTTGTAAGCATACAAGGCCCATAGACTATGTTATGCATGCAGTTTTTATAATGTTAGTGTTGTTTATATTTCAGATGATCATTCATTAGTTACATTGAAGAAGATTCCACCAAGAGATGATAGTACTTACATTAATGCCAGTTATATAGAGGTATGTTCTTACACAAGATTCTTATCAACTACATAAAAGTTGTTCTCTTACATGTAACATCGTCTTAATTATATGCTATTTGCTGTGCAAGCTACATTCACATTGAAGCAATTCAGTGTTATAGCTTTGTACAGTGGAGCCTTGCTAATCCGAACCCTTCTAATCCGGAATCCTTTCTTATCCGAACGAAGTGTCCGGTCCCGATTTTATTCGTTCTATTTTCAATAGTAAAAAACCTTTCGGATCCGGAACCTGTCTACTCCGAATTCCAGACGATTTTTTCAATTTTTGTTCTTATTTTACTCTAAAATTTACCTCTCGGATCCGAACAGATTTTGCCAAATGTCACACCTTCATTCAAAATAACAAATAATCGCACATCTTGCAGGTGTAAACATACACCAAACGGATAAGTGTTTTTCCGCTTGATTAATGGGTGAAACGTATTATCTGCGAAGGTGTGAAATTTACACTTAGCTTGCCCTGATATCTTCAATAATTGCTTAATTGATTGTTTTTTGTCACCTTCAATAAACATTTCGATATAATGCAATAGAAATATCTTTAATCCTTTGTAATGGATTCAATGACACGTGATTAAGTAATGAAAATTAATTGAAACTGGCAGTGAGTTTGGATAATCGCTGAATCGGATAAGAGTAAACAACAATTGACAAATGCTGGTACGAATATTTAATCATGTCTTAGCCTCCTGTTTAACATTTTAGGTTAACTTACCCTTAAGGACATAATATTTTTGCTTATTTGTTTATTTTTATTTCTTTATTTTTGTATTCACATGTATTAAAATGAACGATAAGAGATTGCAAAAATAAAATATTTAAATTGCAAGTTCAAATGCATTCCCGTTTTCTTTCCTTAAACTATTTTGCAAATAACATGAAAAACATGTAAAAAAAACCTTCTAATCCGGAAACCTTTCTAATTCGACCTTTTCTTCTAGTCCGGACGAGTTCGGATTAGACAGGTTCCACTGTACTATACTGCCATATAATTTGTCTGCCCTTGTTTCTTATTATACAAGGGTTTAAACATAAAATCGTGATTATATTTTCAACTCAAGGCCCTTGTGACGTAGGGGTTGCCTTAAATTGTTTAGACTCGTTGAGGCATAAGAACTGGAGCCAACGTTTATCCTTTGGTGATCGTAAGAGGCAACTAAATAGGTCCGAATAACTGGAGTCTATGCATCTATTATATTAAGCTTCAGTAGGTGAGGGGGTTTTGACCCCTGGTGTTGCTTTAGGTTTGTCACACCTGAGGGTAGCCAAAATCATCATTCTTGTTTCAGCACAATATGACTTACACTGTGTTGGTGCGCTGTAAAACCATACAAACAAACAGACTCAACTTAGCCTCATACCCATACAGCTGGTGCATGTAGACCAAGATCAACTACTAAATGTCATTCCATCTGATCAGGGTCTACACTATTATCTATTAATTAAGTCTATACATCTTATTTAGTGTTCCTTGAAAATGTTGAAATGAATGGTTTTATCCAGAAGGAAGTCCATTTAAGATTTTAGCATGGGAAGGATAAAAGAATAGTTGGTTTATTATACTTGCCCATCAATTGGCATTACACTTGGTTAATATTTTGTTTGTATCTTTCCACAGAAGGTATTCTTTTATAACTTCATAATATGGTATTTCTTTTGGCTCAAGATTTTGTAACACTACACAAACCCAATATCTTTAGTGTGGATTTCTGCTGTATTTTACGTTTTCATGAACTTGAAAATTCCTTGTTAAGCTTATATTAATTTTGGGTTTAAATTAAAAATTAAATGTGAAGATTTGAAACTTCACTTAATTATGCCATTTGAGTCATTCTAAATGTAAAGTAACTGACTAAGACTCATTTTTGTAGCATAGATTTTATTGAAGTTGTTCTACTTTTTGAACTAAGAAATTTTCATGACAGAAAATGGTTTTATGACAGTTCATATTAAGTAGAGCATATAGTGTTAGTCTGGTACTTGTGACTGTGAAAGTAACTTTATATTTCCTTAATTGCAAGGTAGGAATAATGGAGCAATAGAACCTGATATTCAGGTTGCTTCTTGATACATATGGAGATAAATATTTAATTAATGACTGATATAGATAGGGTTTTTAAAGCATCATACATCCTAATGAGTGATAAATTATGTAAAAAAAAAATTGACAAATTTAAATAGTGACTTTGTGTCTTGTAATGTCACAAATTGGTACATCAGATTTCCGCCTGCTGATACTGACATGTTTACACCTCGTTTGACATCACTTGTCACGGCTGGACATTCTGTTCTTGATACTTTTATAATACCAATATCATCAATAACAAACAAAGATTTTATATTGACAGTATAAGACCTCTAGCATTTCGAGTTTTCTGTGGCTATAATTATTAAAGGCTTATGATATATAACTATAAGTCCTACGATAATCAGAAAAAGTAAATCCTTTACTTTACGTTGTCAGTAACTGCATTCTGTGCCGCTTTTTGATTTAGCTTAAGAAAAGCTAAGGGATACAGTGTCTTATAATTGGAACAGAGAAAAACACGGCATGCAGCTAGAGGGAAATATATTGTTGTAAGAAACATTAACACAATTAGGGAGATAGAATTTCTGTAGCAAGTCATGCTTGTTTGTCTGCAGGCAGACGGAGGAAATCATATTGTGATAACATTTTCAGTAATTAGCTTACAGTTTCTGAGATTTGCTGCCACATATGACATGAAATATTTCCTTTTTTTGCCCATAAAGTTACATGTCTCGAAACTTTTTTAGATTATCCTTTCATGTATATAGTTGTTATTCAAATAGGAATGGTTACTTTCCTTGGTATAATGTTGATATAATCAAAATAAATTTAGACATGTACCAGTAGGTTAATATTAGCCAAGTAGAATTGTTATTGTTTACTCGCTTGCAAATTTGTCAAAGGATCGAATGGCAAAAATTCTAATCCAAAATTTAGTACAAATACAATGAAAGTTGAATGAATGGATAGCATGATAATGTGTGATCATATATAAAGGATAGGTCAACTGTGTCTGTGTTTTATTTGATCATACAATCTCTACATCATTCATGAAATTTTTATGTCTGTTCTTCACGTAGACCAGACATTTGGTGCCCCCAGACAATTTTCCCCCATACATTTGCCTCCCTTTTCCATTAGGTGGACATTTGCCCCCTAGTCTTTTTTTGGAAGGGCACCCTTTCAAAACATATATGTGGGGGGCAAATGTCTGCCACAGCAAAATATCGAGAAAATGTCAAAGGAAGCAAGTGTCTTAGAATCGTTCTTCACTTTAGCAAAAATTGTACATGTCTTATATGCCCAATAAATCTATATAAGGGTGAACATTTCCTTTCTGAAACAATCTCATTATCCATATCTTTGCTGATTAATTTATGAACTTGTCCTGTCTTGTTTTTTTGTAACTTTTAATTATTCATTGTACAGAGATTGAAATAAAAAATACTGACATTTAACAGCAAACAGCATACTGTAAACTAAAGTTTTCTCAATATAGACACAGGTATCCCATATTTCTGTGTATTATTGTGACTCTGATAAGGTCTTGACAAACTTATGTTCAGTTCAAGTTCCCCATATCCAATATTGTCTTTACAAGAAACATACAAACTGACATTCTGATCTGTAAGTTATTTGAGGTATGTTGGTTACTTCATGTAAACAAGATTTGGTTTTTGATACATTGACACACTAACATTTCACGAGTACAGAAATAGCTTACTAATGATTATATCATACTGTACTATAAGAGAAAGTATGAGATAATACAATATATAGTATAGGTAGGTCACCTGTTGTATTTACAATTTTACCTCCATCATTGTAATATATCTATGTTGACATTGTTATAAATAAAAGAACAGTATCATCATGTAAGATGAGGTCATTTCAACAGTAACCACAGCTATGGGGCTGGGTTATATATATTTGCAGTAAGACAAGGCATACTTTACTCTGTTACTCAAATTTTATACTCTCCTTTTTGTTTTTCAGGGTTATAACAACCAAATAGAATATATTGCTACTCAGGGTAAGTAGGCTTTGTTAACATGTTAATTCCTGGTTTGGTGAATCAGAGATTGAAAAAAAAATAATGTAAGACAAGAGACATTATTCAGAAAGTAAGACTTTTGTAGTTATGCCCCTTTTTTGCTAGATTTTTTGTAAAAGTTGCTTACAAAGTAGAATGATTTAAAACAATTAAGTAGAATGATTTAAAATAATGAAAACTATCAATATGAAACTTGAATAACTTGATTATCATGACAAGGAACAGTTGTTAAACAAAGGGCATTATCCTAAAAGCAATATTTTTAGGAGCTATGCCCCTTTTATCTTAGGAATATTTTAGAAACTTAAGTGATAACACTGAATGTTTGTATTTTGATATGGAAATTACTTAAACTTGAATGGACTGTTTCAAATTCAAAGTTGGGCAAATCCTTTTCACTAGTTCAATAGGTTATTCAAAGGCTAATTTGTATAAAGGGTACCAGCAGATTTCAGTTGCTCCTTGTAAGGTTGCTGAAGATCCAGGGGGGCTTTCTGTGACTTGTCTTGATTTTACAATATATATTACAGGAGTTAATCTTCTCTCAGATTTCTTTAATGCCTTCATATGTTTAGTCTAAAATAATTTGAGCCGCATCATGACAAAACCAACATAATGGGTTTGCGACCAGCATGGACCCTGACCAGCCTGCGCATCCGCGCAGTCTGATCAGGATCCATGCTGTTCGCTCACAAACCCTATTACAAGTAGAGAAACTGATAGCGAACAGCATGGATCCTGATCAGACTGCGCGGATGCGCAGGCTGGTCTGGATCCATGCTGGTCGCAAACCCATTACGTTGGTTTTGTCATGACGCGGCTCATTTTTACAGCTCAGACATCGGATAATTACATTTACAACAGATTGTTTTCTGTATAAATTGCTGCATAAGGATTATTGTTGTATAAGGAATTTGACTTTCTCTTTATTTACATATTCTTTGAAAAATGGAAATTCCCTTCAATCAAACTTTTATTTATTACAAAGTATGTTCAAAACACTAGTATTAACATTATTTTGTATAATTTTTATGGTCTCTATTGTTGCCATTGTTGACAACAAACAAACAAAAACCACTATATAATTATTAACATTTATTTTTTAAAATTTATAAAGGTCTATTGTTTCCATTGTTGATACATACATGTAATTAGAGATCTCCTAATTTTAGAAGTTAATGTGATGAAATATTACAGTGAGCTACCACCAGTCATTGAACATACTATTTTTGGTGTATATGTGATTGACCAAAATGTCAATAGTATTCTCATAACAATATCTGAAGATAAACATGACTGAATCTAAAAGCTATGTTAAGATAATGTATCAAAGAAACTTGAGATTCTAACCCTTAGCGTACTGGGTCTTCTTTTAAAAAGCCCAAAGAGCTAGAGCTTTGATATATTAAGCTTAAAAAATCTTGTAATGGGTGTCTACCAAGTTTGTTCAAATAAAAGTCCTGGGGTTTACCCATGTGACTAGTGCAGACCTTGGTCAACCAGCATACATGTATATCCCTGTCTAAATATGGTCTATACTGTTTGCTATACAATAAGTACATATTTTGAAATCTTCCCTGAAAATGATGAATGGTGTTTTATACAGATTGAAAGATGGATGATTTCACTTGGAAAGGGTTAAGAGATAATTTTGTGTTTGTAATTTAATTCTCTGTATTTTCAATATACTACAAATATATATCCAATACCTTGAAATATCTCTGTTAAATTGAATCTAAAATAGTTATAGACCACCTGCCCCTTCATGTTCATTTAGCTTTTTCCAAATATGGCAAACATATTTTCATGTGTGTAATTATATCTTACAGCCTGACAAACTGCGGCCACTTATGTCTAAAAATGTGACTCTTCCCATAAATCAAACCAATATATTGCGAGATAAAGAAGTAATTCTAAATAAAGGTGTTAATTTGTTAGTCTAGTCAATATTGACATTATCTCAGGGAAGAAATGCAGCAAAGAAGTTCAAGTTTTAAATGGACAATTCAAATAAGAGCAGGCAGATAGTTCTTTATTTGAGCTGTCTTTTATAATCTTTAGAAAACAGACTTATTGTGTAATCATAATCAATACAATGTCAGTTGTTTTTTTCAACCATATAATCATATTATGTTTGATATCTAGAAAACAGTTTATTGATGCAGTCTGTCTTGCCTGTAGTTGCAATATACACAAATATAATTTCCAGAGAAATCATCAAAAATGATTTCAGGATCGAAACTTGAGACATGGAAACAATCATATACTTTGACTGGTGTCGCATTACTCTCGTCAGTTCCTAATTAACTTTCTTTAACCTATAGAGGATTTTTGTTTGTTTTGCATTTAAGATCGAAATATATTTCAAAGAGTCACAGAACACTTTGATGTCATATTTTCATGAGTGGCGCAGCCAGGAGTGAATATATAAAAGCTGGTATTTTATTAGTGAAATATAATTAGATCACCAAACAAACAAATTTTTTAGTTATTTCATGCTTTTTATTGGTTTTAAGTCAATTTTACTGATTTTTGCCGCGCAACAACATGCATTCTCATTAATGTCATCAAATCATGACGTCACAGAGTTCTTACTTAAATATAATTCTGTAAACTTTTACGGAATAACATTACATTTTGAAAATGATATGTGCAGATATGTATATGCATCTCGTAATCAATCACATTTTACTCATGATGGCGTGTATTTCTGACTATATTTCACTCATTAAAGTTAAATTATTGTCATTCACATTCTGATAAAGTCCGACTACTGTGAAAATAATATTTCATAATTTTGCAATGAAATTTTGACTGTCCACAGAAAAGCATGTAACAATCACTATACTTTTTCTTCCATCACTGGTTTATTCAATTCAATTCTTTATTCAGAAGATTCAGGCACAGTCATTCTTTTTAAAATTTGACTGATGCATAACCTGTGTGCTTACTTAACTTTGTTTCTTTATTGATGCACGTACAACTCTTAATTTTCTTTTTCCCTCTTATTGGTACATTCTCCATTTACCTCATGAATTTGCTTTGAATTTAGATATAAAAACTAAACTTCCAACATTATATAGCAAAAATGTGGTGACTGGTCTAGCTCTTTACTCAGGTGTCTTTGGCTAATCACTTTGGGTTCAAGCAGGCAATGGGGTTAACAGTTTAACTAACTTTCCTAGTATAATTATTTTAATAGCTCTGTATTGAATTATAGTATCATATTTTACAGGACCTAGAGGCAAACAGGTTGCAGCCTTCTGGCATATGGTTTGGCAAGAAAATGTTCATGTTGTTGTTATGGCAACAGGACTTTTTGAAAATGCTGCAGTAAGTTTTTGTTCTTATGCTTTATAAGGAGAGAGAGAGAGAGAGAGAGAGGATTCAGTGAAACTTAAAACAGCAAGCATACCATATAGTGGGCAAACTAAATCACTGAACCATTTATTGCAAGTTAGTATAATTGAATATGCATGGTTTATTTCCGATCACTGTATCATTTATTGCAAGCTTACATTATTCAGCTTTTATCATTTCTTGCTAGTACAGAAAGTAGATGGAAGTGAAGTTCAAGTAAAAAAACACAAACTGGCTGATATTTTTAATCTAATTGGGCTATCAACATATGCAAATATTATCACATTTGATATTCAATCCATTTAAGCTTAAAGGATCACCTCATGATCTGTATTTCATGATTACTCTTATAGTAGGAGGATATTTAATTTATTGTTATAAAATCATGACTGTCTGTGCAACAAGTCCCCCTTTCACATAACAATAAAAAAAAAACCATCATAAACTTTATATGCAATCTCCATAAAAAGGCATTCTGATTCGGGTCCATACATAGATTTATAGATACTTCATGGATTAATAAAGATAATTCTGTTTACAACCCACATGCATTTGGAAGTTATTTCAACAACCCCCACCCCCGTACATTTGTGAGTTATTTTCCATAAACATCTGGAATTATTTTCAACAACCTCCGCACATTTGGATGTTTGTCTATATTGTGTCATTCAATCATCATTATTGTCTATGTACCTCAGTTGTATATCTTTATAATGATTAATCATAACTTTCAATCAAATTTAATGAGGCCATGACCATGTAGCTCAAACTGTACCGTCAGACATTAACATGTACCATGAGACGCGTATAATCCAAACACAATTGTTATATTGGCTCTAGATTCAATAGTGAACATTCTGTCCTTCATCATTCTGACTGGTCCAATGTTTCATTTATTGGCTTGCTTCATGCATTAATAATATGTTATTCCATTATGAAGGTATTATATACAACCATAAAATTGTCATATTCCGATGGAATTTCATACTTCAGTTCATGCATTGTTACTTTAGGGAGTTGTACAACTGGCGTCAGATACATCAACGCTGTCAGAGAAATGTTTTAGTATACTTGTAATTATCAGCGTCAATTTGAGATTGATACTTAGGGAAAATAGAAAAAAAAGAGACAGAGATAGGGGAAAAAAACCCTGAAATGAATGAACAATAGCTTAATGGGGCTTTCTGCAAACATGTTATTTTTTGTGTGGCTGAAAAAAGTCAGAACAATGCTATTTGAGCTATTGATATGGGATAGGAATGAATTTATTAGACCTCTGGGTTTTACGAATGCCAAACTAATAATGTTACATTGCACTTAATATTAATAAATTTTGATATGCTTAAAATGCTGGCAGTAATTTTAGTATTGATATATAAAACCATTCCATCTATTAGTGTACTGCGGAGGAAAATATTGTGCTCATTTATTTGGCATTTCCCTTGTTCTGTCCCGGGATATACTTTACACTATCTTATATTTGGTTATAAACTATGTTATAGTAATATGAAACTGGAATTGTCATATTCTTTTAGTATTTCATATGTCCTGTATTGTTGTATATAAGATCTACTATACTTATAACTCATTCTACAGATTAGGACGGTAATTATCTATGTCATTCCGAGATTGATTTATGGCAGAAACTGGAATAATGAATAGAAAAATGACAAGATACTATTGTGCCAGCGAGTATAGCATATGCTGGGGAACAGTAAACCACTTCTGGTTGTGATTTAGTTACGACACACATGGTGACTGTGTATGACAATACCAATATAACATGTATGCTTTACACAAGAGGCCATATTTTCCAGAATTAAGTCAAATGTAGATCTTTTATGTAGATAAATGTTTTATTGACATGGTTTTACTGATGGTCTAGATTTCCATGTTCTCCATGTTAATCACGGCAGTTTTAGGGTAACAAAAAGCTGCATAATTGCTTGTTGCAAGAATGATGGTGTGTGGGTTATTTTGTCCCTCAAGGTCAAGGTCACACAGTTACGTTAGAAACAGCACCTTATATCACTCCTGTCTGATGATGATTGTCTTACAATGTTAACTGATTGCTAATTTAATGTTACTTTTATGTATACATTTTGTTTTTATGTATTTCAGCAACAATGTGATAAATACTGGGGTGACATACTGAGTGTTCAGAAATATGTGCGACACGGAGATATACATATATACCTTAAAGACAAACTAGAGCTTTCAAAACTTACCGTACGAACATTCCAAATTTGTGAAGTAAGTGACTTATCTTAGGAAGAACTAACACTTACATAATGTCACTTTAACAAAAAAAGATGTTCACTTAGGACCATAGATTTGTTAAGACTTTCTTTTGCCAAAATGGAAATGTCTATACATTAGGGACATTGAGTATGTTAATTAATTTTTCCCAGCTTATATTTTACTCATGTGTAGTATAATTTATTTATGGAAAATGAAAATGGCAGACAATTACATAACAACAAACTTTGTTTGACTTAACTATGTTAATGACAACTTCCATGTTATAAAGTATTTTGTTATACGAGGGTTGTTCAAAAAGTAATAGGACTGGGAGTCTTGCGTATTCAAATTTCATTCAATTTATAATATTTTCACATGTAAAGCAATCGTAAAGTGTTTTCTACAAATCAAACATAAGTTTTTTAATCTTTTGTGATAAACGCGCTTTTCCTTTGCTATTGAATAACCATGGTAACACGCACCCGGCGTAGCACATAAATATAGTTATTGGAGCTAAGTTCTACTTCTCATTTATTCATAAATAACTATTTGTTTTCCCCTGTATTCCATCAATACGTTGAAATATATTTATGTGACATTATGTCCAAATTTGACGACATTCGGACATGAAATGGCCTGTTTATTAATTTTTGAACAGCAGCGGTCATAGCGTTAGATGTAGAAATATGACATTTGTTAACAAACGGAAAATGTGTGCCATCTTTAAATTTTGCCAACAGATTGACTATAATCATTCAGATACACACAAAATGATTAAATAAACTGAGGACAATTATCCTGCCATCAGGACACTTGTTTTCAGCTGGCATAAGCAATTCAAAAACTGCAAATACAAGATCACTTACGAGAAAGGGCGAGGATGAAAGTTGAAAATTGACGGGACGTTAGTGACGTCAATTGCAAAAGCGCTACAAAAGAAACCACGGTAAACGGTACGCGAACTGTTTATCGTTGTTTGTTTCTGCTACGGGTCTACTTATTCAGTTTTAACCAAAGGATTGTAAATAAGACATTTGTTATGAACACTATTTTATTGTATTTAACTAGATATACGCGTAATCAATGAATTAATGTAATAGTTAACGGTAATAATTAGAAGTGTTTCCGAAAACTTGTTTTAATAAACAATAGACTGTGCTAAGTAGAAAAGGATACTTTTCAATTGAGAAATATCTTTATTGTTCTGTATATAATCATATTGTTTTAAAAACATACGATGACATGAGTAAATTAATAACATAAATTGCTTTTGCTTTAACATTTTCAGTCCGTATTGAGTTCCAAGGTTACTAAAAAAACACGAGAAAACCCGGAGAATGGCCGGCTATCGGGCATTTATTTTTTTTTTTTTTTTTGAAACAGTGGAACGAGAATGTTATCGCTTTTTTTCTTGCTTCATCTCAACTTATGAGGCAAAGTAAAAGTTACATGACTCATACACCAAGAGACTACTTTCAGAAAGAATGACGCTTATTACAATTTCGATTTTACGACGTCATCAACGTCAATTATTGTATTGTTAGCGTGCGCCGCATTTCGAACCCCTTGTCATTTGAAAATTTCACAGAAATTTCATTTGTTTACATTTTGTTTTGATTTTTTCACTGTATATAGAGAAAATGTTCCGATATTTGTCTCATGTAGAATTTTGTACGTAAATTTAAAAATGTGAACAGTAGAGCTGCAGTCCTATTACTTTTTGAACAACCCTCGTATTTGGTGATGTTGCCAAGTTTGATTATGACTATGAGGATGTTGTCATGTATAATGTCAATAATTGACTTCATATTGCCGTATATAGCTATCCCAAAGGTAAAATTACCCCACCATTTTCGTACAAGTTTGGCACACTCCATGCGTCTCCATTCTTTAATGTTCTAGGGTAATGTGTTTAATGTAACAGTGTGGGCATGGAAGACATTACTGGTAGCTTCATATATGCACAAAACTGTTTTTACAAGACTTATGTATAGATTTTTGGGTAAAACTGATGAATGGTCTACTGTTCACTAATATGTTACTGGGACATTTCATAAGTAAACAAAACAGTAAAATGCAATAATTTATATATTGTTAGTGTGTGTATCTTAAGAAATGACATTTTAAGATGTCTGTATTCCATTTCTGTAAAGAAACATTTCATATTCCTTTGCTCAAAATTTTAATCATTTGAAAAAAAAATACTTAAGATGGATTATATGATAATTATTACCTCAGGTTTTCCTTGGATAGTTTTGTTCAGTATGTAGGTGAAATATCATCCACATTTGTCATTGGATTTCCTTTCCCTAATGGCCAGATGTTTCTATTTTAATTTTTAGCATGTTAGAAGAGTTACAGCCCATGTCTTAAAGTGGATTGGTCTACAATGGGCATATATTTCATAAGAATTTCAAATATTGATAAAAAACGATGGAAAATTATCATAACGATATTCTTGTTAAATATTGCTTGGGAAAAAATTGTTGATAATGTTCTAAATAATTAAATTTAGTATGAGCATTTATATAATGAATAATAGTATTTTGGTCTAGAACAATTAATTATCTGCTTTATATTCTTCTGTTGTTTATTGTTGTGTCTGATACTAAATTCTATCAACATTATTATTTATTATGTTACAGACCTTCCATTATAGACCAGTTCACATTAATTAGATATTGACTAGGTAATGAACAATCATATAAGACTAGATAATGTACAGTCTTGTTGTTATGAAGTTTAAATCTGTTAATTTCATATCATGTTTAATACATGGCATCTGTAAAATAGTATATAAAACTCATGTGAATACAAATGATAAAATTGTTTCGTTTCTGGGAAAAAATAATTTTAGTCTTTAATTTTAGAAAAAGAGAAAAAAATAGATGAATTATTGGACATTATCAAGTAAATGCTTGTCCAAATCCAAAATAATAACATGAACTATTATTTTCAGACTAGCTTATTATGTCTATTTTTGTCTTGGATTACTATATTTAGCACAAAAAATTGATTGAAAAATAGAATTTGTAATATGAGCAGAGTTTTCAGAAAGATGTTGGTATATTGATTAAATTATTAGATGTAAGCGTCAGGATTAATATGCTTTATGTTATTATCATTATTATCATTATTTTCATTGATATGTTGTTTAATATGTGCCTACCATCAGAAGGTAGGTAGTACATGTTATAATTGTCAGATCATTAATATGAGAAGAACAAATTAAGCCCAGATTTATGTTACTTGGTAGGGACATTGTCCAATGCTAGTAGTTGACATTTACTGATTTTGAAATCATTAGGTCAAGGGTCATTTGGTTTTAAAGGTCAAGGTTACAGTAGCATCTTGTGTAAAATCTTTGTTCAATAAATAACTTGAAAAGAATAAACCATGGCTTATGTTGAATGATAGAGACATTGTCCAATGATAGTAGATGTCACTTATAGATTTTGAAGTCATTAGGTCAAAGGTCATGGTCACAGTAGATTTTGTGTAAAATCTCTGTTCAGTCATTCACTTGAAAAGGAATAAGCCATGGTTTATGTTTCATGGTAAATACATTGTCCAGTGCTAGTTGATGACACTTATTGACTTTGAAGTCATTAGGTCAAAGGTCAAGGTCACAGTTACACTTTGTGATAAATTCTTGTCCCAGTAATCACTTTACAAGGAATAAGTCTAAGCTATTTAAACATTTTAAGTTTTAAGTGGGAAAAACAGCTTTGTGCAAATAACAGAATAACATGGTATCCATTGCCTATATAAGAAAGAACAAACGCTTTCATAGAAGTTCCAACCAAATAAACAATGCTGACAGAACAGAAGGTGTTACTGAACTGTTAAAAGACATACATGTACATGTTTGTTCAGTGTTTCTTTTTCACTAAAGTTGATGTAACTTTAGCCAAATAAATGGTAAATAATGTGTAAAATAGATATAAGTTGTTTAATTTGGTTTACTAGGATGGTTGTGATGAACCTCGGACATTGAAGCATTTTGAGATGACAGGATTTTCTGATGATTCTACTGACCCTGGGTTTTTATTGGATGTTTGGAGACGTGTGAACCGTACTATGCTCACAGTTCCAGGACCTATGCTAGTACATTGCAGGTTAAAAACAAAACATTTTCTGTTTTCAAAATACATGAAGAATTATCTGAATGACTGATATGGTAACCTTAAAATATGAACGCTTTCAATTATTAATATTAATACTTGTGAAGATTCCATAGATTTGATTAAGAAACTGGGACTTAGATAAAAGAATTACTTTGAATTTATTAGAAATTGTTCATTTTCTAAAAAATAAAATAATTGTAAACAATTGTTTGTGATTAATGTATGATTAAATTTTACCCATTTACTTTGTGCACTGGACTGATCTTAACTCTTAATTTAGGGATTATCCATTGACATTTTATGGGAATTCAATTGCTAAAAATCAAAATGACTGAAACTTGAGCTGCCAACAGTAAAGAATCTTATCCTACACAGCCTGGCCAGACTGTATACAAAATTCTTGTGTCATATGTAAGTAATTACCATCATGAGATTGAAATAAAATATAATAAATATGTATTTGTAGATGTGGGGGAGGCAGAACTGCTTCATTTATTGCTGTAGATTATTGTTTAAAACAGCTAGACAGAGAACATTTTGTAGATATATACAGTACAGTACTACATTTACGCAAATTCAGAAAAAACATGGTCAGGTCACTGGTAAGTTGAATGACTGCAATTTTATTGTCTTATTATTGGTTGCTATAAAATGTCACATGAGAGATTTTGTGAGATAGCTTTACTTTATTTGTCTATACGTTTATATATATTTTGATGACTGAGTGCTAAAAGGTTTGCTCAAGCTTTTCTTGTCAAACTTGATAAAACTGCATTTTAATTAAATTGTATAATGCTTAAAGACGTTTTTGGGAGTTTTCATATACTGGTCAGGGACCATCAACCGGACACTTTTTGAACATTTTTCTATACAAATTTCATAATTTTAAAGCTAGAGGTACGAAAATTTGACACATAACAGCTAGGTTCTTCTCCTTACTAACAAACTAGTTTGTTTAGTTCTGCTTATGTTGACACTTATATCCGAGGCCCGTCAAGGAGGGTATCAAAATTACCTAAATTGTACATACTACAGTACCATGTGTCCGGACAGATATGTAATAACGTTGATTTAATTCAGATAAAAGCTTTGGTGTACTTTTTAGCTCACCTGAGCAATGCTCAGGGTGAGCTATTGTGATCGCCCTGTGTCCGTCGTCGTGCGTCGTCAACTTTTCACATAAACCAACATCTCCTCTGAAACCAATGACTGCACATCAACCAAACTTTACAGAAATGATCCTTGGGTGGTCCCCTTTCAAAGTTGTTCAAATGGTTCCGGTCTGTTGCATATGTAGGTCACAGGGCCAGAAAAGGATTTCAAAAAACACAAAATTAAAAAATCTTCTTGTCTGAAAGTACATGGGCCAGAGCTTTGATTTTTGGTATATGGTATCATCTATGGGTCCTCTACCAAAGTTGTTCAAATTTTGTCCCTAGTGTCAAAATTGGCCCCGCCCCGGGGGGTCATAGGTTTTTCCTTATATGTCTATAGGTAAATCTAAAAAAATCTTCTTCTCTGATTTGGCAAAGGCTACAAATTAGATATTTGGCATGAAACATTGTGTAGTAGACCTCTATCAAGATTGTTCAAATAATGGCCCTAGGGTCAAAATTGGCCCCGCCCTGGGGGGTCATTGATTTTCATTACATACATATAGTGAAAACTTGAAAAATCTTCTGGTCTGAAAGTAAATGGCCTAGAGCTTTGATTTTTGGTATATGGTATCATCTATGGGTCCTCTACCAAAGTTGTTCAAATTTTGTCCCTAGTGTCAAAATTGGCCCCGCCCCGGGGGTCATAGGTTTTTCCTTATATGTATATAGTAAAATCTAAAAAAATCTTCTTCTCTGATTTGGCAAAGGCTACAGATTAGATATTTGGCATGAAACATTGTGTAGTAGACCTCTATCAAGATTGTTGAAATAATGGCCCTAGGGTCAAAATTGGCCCTGCCCCGGGGGGTCATTGATTTTCATTACATACATATAGTGAAAACTTGAAAAATCTTCTGGTCTGAAAGTAAATGGCCTAGAGCTTTGATATTTGGTCTATGGTATCATCTGAAGGTCCAATACCAAAGTTGTACAAATTTTGTCCCTAGTGTCAAAATTGGCCCCGCCCCGGGGGGTCATAGGTTTTTCTAATATGTATATAGTAAAACATAAAAAAATCTTCTTCTCTGAATTGGCAAAGGCTACAGGTAAGATATTTGGCATGAAACATTGTGTGGTAGACCTTTACCAATATTGTTCAAATAATGGCCCTCGGGTCAAAATTGGCCCCGCCCTCGGGGGTCATTGATTTTCATTATATACATATAGTGAAAACTTGAAAAATCTTCTGGTCTGAAAGTAAATGGCCTAGAGCTTTGATATTTGGTCTATGGTATCATCTATAGGTCCAAAACCAAAGTTGTTCAAATTTTGTTCCTAGAATTAAAATCTGCCCCGCCCTGGGGGTCATTGATTTTCCCTATATGTATATAGTAAAAACTTTAAAAAATCTTCTTTTAAAGAACCAAAAGAGCTAGAGCTAAGATATTTAGCATGAAACATCTTCTAATGGGTGTCTACCAAGTTTGTTCAAATAAAAGCCCTGGGGTCAAAATTGGCGCCGCCCCAGGGGATCATTGATTTTCCCTATATGCATATAGTAAAAACTTAAAAAAATTTCTTTTAAAGAATGCAAAGAGCTAGAGCTAAGATATTTAGCATGAAACATGTTCTAATGGATGTCTACCATGTTCGTTCAAATAAGAGCCCTGGGGTCAAAATTGGCCCCGCCCCGGGGGTCATTCATTAGCTCGACTTTTTTTTTAGATATATACATATTATATATATATACATACATATATATATATATATACATATTATATATATATATGTATTGCATTTTTTGGTGTGTGTGTATATATGAAATATATATATATATATATGTATGTATCTATATTGTATATATATATCTTATATATATGTATGTATGTATGTATGTATGTGTATATATATATATATATATATACATACACACACACATACATATATATATACACATATATATATAAAACATATGTAATTTATATATATAATTATATATATACAATATAATACATACATACATATATATATATATATATATATATATATATATATATATATATATATATATGTATTGCATTTTTTGGTGTGTGTGTATATATGAAATATATATATATATATATATATATATATATATATATATATATGTATGTATCTATATTGTATATATATATCTTATATATATGTATGTATGTATGTATGTATGTGTATATATATATATATATATATATATATATATATACATACATAAAAAATCTTCTTTTAAAAAACCCAATAAAGCTAGACCTTAGATGTTTAGCATGATACATCTTCTAATGGGTGTCAACCAAGTTTGTTCAAATAAAAGCCCTGGGGTTTAAACTGGCCCCGCTCCGGGGGCCTATATACAGGTGAGCGACTTTGGGCCATCATGGCCCTCTTGTTTTTATTTTTAACATGACACACAATATTTCAGCAGCAAATGCTGAAGTTTTGGATATTCTATTGTTAACTTTGCAAATAATTATTGCTGTTATATGAGGTCAGGCATTGCTTTCTTGACCCCCAAATTTCAATGTCAACATTCTTGAAATAGACATTAAAATATTACCATTTACGGAGGTTGAAATAAATTTATTTACTTAATTATAGAAGAAACATGCATTTATTGTTGTTAAAAAAGTGACTGACAACCACTGAACAAAGAAAATTCTAAATCAAGCATTTTCGGGGCCGTCCGGGTTTGGTGGTTGTCCGGTTTTGGTGGTCCCCAACCAGTAGACATAGAGGCAAAATTAAAACTATTCAATAGAATTTCTTTAAACTTAGCGTGTTGTCAGAATATGATGACAGAAACATTTTAAGCGAAAAAAAAATTGGGGTCACCGTTCTCGTTTTTGAGTTATCTGCCCTTGAATTGGACTTTTTTGTTAAATTCAAGGGCAGATAATTTACAATGAAGGGAAATGATACAATTTTTCTTTCTTCTTTTCACGAAGCTTACCTTCGTTTTAGTTGATATGCAAAATTTCAAGAAAAAATTTAGAGTGGGTAGTTTTTATTGCCACTTCTTCTTTTAACCTGTGCATTTTTTCTTAAAAAATGGCCTATTTTTTAAGAATTTAAAGTATCTTTATTTTCATTGAAAAAAATTAATGGAAACGATGTATGGAATTGCATATTATTATGTATTGTACTCAACAATAAAAAGAAAAACATAATCCAAAAGTAAAAACAAGAATTCATTTAAGAATGTATAAGTTATCTGCCCTTGAAATGACCTCAAATAAGTAGAAAAGTCTGATTCAGGGGCAGATAACTCAAAAACGAGAACGGTGACCACAATTTTTTTTTCGCTTAAAATGTTTCTGTCAACATGCCAAGTTTAAAGAAATTCTGTTGACTGAGTTTTAATTTTGCCTATATGTCTATATGAAAACTCCCAAAAACGTCCTTAATATATATCTGCTGCAAAAATGTTTAAAAGAATACTTCCAAAATACCTGTATAAAAATATATTTGTGTATTACAGTACATGTAACAACTCTTTGAGAATGGGCAATTTAAGAAATAATATATCCCAAACAGTGATTTTATCGCTCAATAACATCACTGTTTGGAGTTCGGATGCGAGGAATTATATCACGAGGGCGTAGCCCGAGTGATATAATGATGTGCATCCGAACGACAAACAGTGATGTTATCAAGCGATAAAATCACTGATTTGGATATATTTTTTCGATTCTAACACGACATCAACAAATAAATGTTGCCGTACTTGATAGTTAAGCAAAATTGCGCCTGATTTGTTTCCGTACTTATTTTCAGCGCGTCGGATTTTTAGTGGTTACGTCACGTGTATAATGATTACGTCACATGTCTAAATATAGAACGTTAAACTGTGAATCTGTTGCATAATAACACACTTTCGTTTCTTCTATGTTCAATAGGGAAAAATGCGGGTCGTGTTAGAATATATAATAGAAACACCATCATTTTACTGTGATAAAAAGTTATATTAAACATTTTCATTACATATAGCTGTATACCCTTTAAGAAGATAGATGTATTTTTTAAGTAAAATGGACTCGTCTTGCCCAGAACTTTACAATATTTTTTTAGCTGAGCTATTTTAAGAACAGTGGGCATTGGTTTCGGTGCTTGGTAGGCAAAACGCTATTAGAGAATTGTGGGGGGCATCTGTGGCTGAGTGGTTAAGGTCCATGACTTCAAACCATTTGCCTGAGTGAGAATTGTGATCCTTTGAGAACATTATGATATATATGCATCAGTCTGTTGATATTTATCCACAATTTACAAAATGTTGTTGGATACAATTAATGTAGTTAGAGGGAATACTGTACTCTTATAAGATCTGCCTGTGTTTATATTTGACAGAGTCAGTACCGACTGATCTATGACACGCTAGCCATGTATGTACAGGTATGGAACACTGTGATACCGTCAGCTAAACTGCCTGCTGTTGCTCACAAACTTATGCTCAAAGATCCTCAGACGGACCTTATCGGGTTCGAGAAAGAATTTCAGGTGAGTTCTTGAGATGGACGATACAACCTTCTTAGAACTATTTGGATATGTGTTCTAATGTGTCAGAAGTCTTTGCTTGTGCTTATACAGGTACAAACAAAATATCACAAACAAAAAACTTGTTGTTTTTAGAGAAGCATTGGAACTATAATAGTGTTATTTCACTGACTTTTAAGAATATCAATCAGCAAGACTAATAGAATATCCTTTTGCTATTCCATATATATAGCCTTTCAAAAAAGTTTGTCTTTTAAATGTTTTTTTAGTTTAGAAAATAAATTATTGCAGTATTGTTTTTATATTATTTCCCTTTATGATACATTACAATGTTTGCCCATGGAAATACTTGAAAAGTATTTAAAGAACTGTTTAAACACATCAAAGAGTGATACAGACCATATAGAGGAAATGCAATGCCCAAAAACTAAAATGCCATTTGGTTGATGCACCTTGATTTCTACCTGTCACACCTATTATTAGGTCAAAGGTCAAGGTCACAAGTATGTAGGAGTACCTTCATTAGTTCTGTAATAACAATAGATAAAACTGACAGCATTGTCCTATGAATTTCAAACTTTGTAAAGTTTGTATTAAGATGTGCTTTGATGAATTCTACCTGCCTCACCAGTTTTTCTGTTTAAAAGGTCAATTATTATGTTGTGCTATTCAAGTTACATGTATCTCTTTATGGTTACTATTCAGCAGTGAGCTGATTGACAGACAACTCTTGTTTATTTACCTCCCTTTGAAAAACTTGATACTTATTGTAGCACCTTTACTTATATAGCATTTTATATGTGTAGCAATGATTAAAGGCTTGTGCCATGTGGCTTAAAAATTACATACATTTAATATTGGTTTGATTTTTATCAAGACACACACAAATTGTCAGCTTAGCGCAGTAACAGATTAAATTTAATATGAGTTAGCTTATTACTGCTCTAAATATTATACAGATTACAGACAGCCCAAAATAACTTTATTGCCTTCAAGAAGTCTATTTACATTTATGTTTATCAGTGTAATATGATATTAGAATTTACCTTATGTATGGCAACAAAAAATCTATAGATCTTCATTATAGAATCACACCTGTAACTATAGATACAAACTTCACATTGAACTCTTGTCTTGGGGTTATTTCAGGTAACTATCACTTTTGACGTAAATGAGGGATTGTAGTAACATCTTTTATGGCTTCTGAAAAAGAAAATAGAATCTGACAAATTAATATGGAAAAAAATAGTTATCAATCCTTTATGCGGAATCCTATATTTTGCTGCTATTTTCAGAGTATCAAATGAATTAAAATAGTTCTGTCATTGACTCTTTTCCCATGTTAAAACTGATTACAAATTATTTGCTACACAGGTTTTCAGGATTATAAATATAGAACTAACAAATTAGAAGATTAATATAAGGAAATAAACTGTGTAGCTGGGAAAACATATAGGTTTTCTTTGAATGTAATAACAAGCCTTTTGTCATAGACTTGTTTATCATATATCAAGATGTTTTCAGCTTTATGTACCATACAACATAATCTAAAGTAATTTCATTGAACTCTGCAACTTTGAATTAGTTCAGGAAAAAAAAATAAAAAAAAAATAATAATAACAGAGCAAAATTTTGACTGTAAATTACCATATTGCATTGAAAACTTAATAAAATGAAATAATTACATTTTAAAATTTTTATTTCTTATTTTCATTAAATTTTTCAATTTTTTGTTATAAATGGCTGCATAGGCATAGGCCTTGCTGTAGAGTGCCCATTACATTTTGGTACTCGAGTTGATATACCAGTTCTGGGTCAAAATGATACTTGAAGATTTTCAGTATTTAGATGATAGGTCTACGGCTGATTATTCAGATGTCTGAGTATGTTAACTGGGTGAGGTATTGTGTCTTTTGGTTTATAGCTGAATTTTTAAGTCAAGCAGCACTAATAAATTGATTCTGGAACTAACAAGTAAACATAATCGCATAATTTATGTAGATGACAGACTGTCCACTGAGATGCTGAAACTCATATAATATATATGAACACATATACGGTTCAAAGGTCTTAGATATTTCAAAATTATATTTTCATACAAACAAACTGTTAATTGAACATTGTATTTCTTTTTCAGTTTCTTCAAGATATTGTGCCAAAAATTCCTATAGGAGATTGTGCCAGTGGTCATAGAGATGAAAACAGAAATAAGAGCAGGGACATTATGTTACTGCCCCGTATGTTATATTTTTAATTTTCTCTTATCCCCCTCGATGTTATAAAAACTATTTCTGATCTCAGGATTTTCATTGGTCGGTGTAGATTCTGTGCCTGTTTTTGACCAATCAAATACCTGAGATCTTAGTTTGAGCTGAAAATAATTCTTTATTGCCAATGTAATTGTAACTGTACACAGAACATAGTAACACATGATATTTATTGATATTTTAGACTCGGACCAAATCCACAAAAGGAGTATGAATTTCATTTTTATATGCCTGAAAAAAAATTTGTCCTAAAATGTAATGCACCTGGTTGTCTATCTGCCTGCTAACAATTTTGTGTCTGCTATATATCTTTTGAACCAATGAAAGGAAATTAGAAAATGTGATATGCAGAACTCAGGATAGGACTTCCTCAGGACACTAAATTTACATAGATTTATATAGAAAAAATCATGCAAGTCTCTTCTGAACCTACATAGATATTTGGCATGTAGCATGACCTTGTGAAATATAAGACAAATGTATTGATGTAAAGGGAGGTAATAAAAGGGGGGAAATATATTTACACACATTTGAGTTGCTGTTCTTAGATATGAACTTTGTTATCCTACCAGTTACAGAAAACAAATGATAGCTTTATAACCTTAAGTCACATTACTGCATAAACACATATTTTACTGTGCAAGGGATTTGCAGATTAGAATTATCATTATATTTTGATGATATTAATTTATTGTCTTGACAAATTTTATATTTAAATATTGTAGCTGAACGAGCGCGGCCTTACCTACAGACAATAGAGACTAATGAGTCAGGAACCGACTTTATTAATGCTGTATTTGTTGATGTAAGTAAAACCTCATTTCATATAATAAAAAACTTGCCTATACATAAACAGTCTCATACTGACCAGACTATATTGTTAGCTATCATCCATTTTTAGCTCGACTATTCGCAGAATAATCGAGCTAATGCAGTCACCCATTTGTCGGCGTCGGCGTCCCTGTGGTTAAGTTTTTGTATGTAAGCTGGTATCTCCATAACTACTGAAGGGAATGGATTGAAACTTCACACACTTGTTCTCTGTGATTATCTAAGATGATTGGCACAAGTCCCATAACTCTGATTTGCTTTTTTTCATAATTATGCCCCTTTTTCGACTTAGAAATTCTTGGTTAAGTTTTTGTATGTAAGCTGGTATCTCCATAACTACTGAAGGGAATGGATTGAAACTTCACACACTTGTTCTCTGTGATCATCTAAGATGATTGGCATAATTCACATAACTCTGATTGCTTTTTTTTATAATTATGCCCCTTTTTCGACTTAGAAATTCTTGGTTAAGTTTTTGTATGTAAGCTGGTATCTCCATAACTACTGAAGGGAATGGATTGAAACTTCACACACTTGTTCTCTGTGATTATCTAAGATGTTTGGCACAAGTCCCATAACTCTGATTTGCTTTTTTTCATAATTATGCCCCTTTTTCGACTTAGAAATTCTTGGTTAAGTTTTTGTATGTAAGCTGTTATCTCCATAACTACTGAAGGGAATTGATTGAAACTTCACACACTTGTTCTCTGTGATTATCTAAGATGATTGGCACAAGTCCCATAACTCTGATTTGCTTTTTTACATAATTATGCCCCTTTTTCGACTTAGAAATTCTTGGTTAAGTTTTTGCGTGTAAGCTGGTATCTACATAACTACTGAAGGGAATGGATTGAAACTTCACACACTTGTTCTCTGTGATTATCTAAGATGATTGGCACAAGTCCCATAACTCTGATTTGCTTTTTAACATAATTATGCCCCTTTTTCGACTTAGAAATTCTTGGTTAAGTTTTTGCGTGTAAGCTGGTATCTCCATAACTACTGAAGGGAATGGATTGAAACTTCACACACTTGGTCTCTGTGATTATCTAAGATGATTGGTACAAGTCCCATAACTCTGATTTGCATTTTTGCATAATTATGCCCCTTTTTCGACTCATGAATTCTTGGATAAGTTTTTGCATGTAAGCTTGTCTCTCCATAACTACTGAAGGGAATGTATTGAAACTTGAAGAGTTTGTACCTTTTCGGACAATTTTATGTATTCATATAGGTTAGCATTATTATACTCAATGAAACACCCTTGTGACAAATTTTCGAATTGTCGAGCGTTACTGTCCTCCGACAGTTCTTGTTGAAACTTCCATTATCAATAAGCCTGACAGTGTAGAGCCTGCAGAGGTTCAGGCTAGCCTGGTGCTATACTGATGGTAAAGGCTAATCACCTTGGATATCAGTAGGTTAAGGTTCCAAAGTTCCAAATTGAAGTTCAGCGGTGTTAAAATTAATTGAATTACAACAGTGTTGTTCTGGAGCTGTGATTAAAAGCTTGACAGGCTTTGTTGATGTTTTATTGTTTTCCTGAAGGAATTGTCAGGTGAGAAAAGTGTGGAGCTAAAAACATGTTCAGTGCGAAATAATATTAATAAAGCAATAAATTCTTGTGTGAAGTGGAACAGTATTGTTTTAATTGGAAAACAACAACAACAAAAAATACAAATGACAATGACATTACATGGGAGAAAATAGCAATAGTAAGTAGTCTTGTTACCCAAATAATGTAAATTGAGCAAACTTTACTTAAAAACCATTCAGACCAGTATTCTTCATATAATATTTTCTATAATATAAAAGATGATATTTACTAAAAGACACCATATTTCTTGATGGGTAAGACATTAAAACAATGTTTATCTTTCATAGCTTTAAATGAGGGTAGAATTTATCTTACTTAACATTCTATAATCTGATGGCAGCAAAATGTCTCTACAGTGTTTGCTTCTGAAGTTCTCCTTGTAACTGAGGGGTTGCCTTTACAAGTTGAGGCATCAGAATTATAGCCACCATTTAACCCTGCATGATCGTAAGAGGCAAATAAATTGGTTAGAATATTTTGAGTCTTTGCATTTCTAAGCTCCAACAGTTAAGGTGGTTTTGACCCTTGGTGTTGCTTATAGTTTGTAACACCCATGGTTGACCAAAATCATCTTTCCTGTTTCTGCACCATATGATCTTAACTGTGTTGGTGTGCTGCAATATCAAACAAAAGTGTTAATCATATATAGAACTTAGATCTAGAAAGTTTCAAAATTCATAACAGGTCCTGAACAAAAGCACACCTAGTGTGGAGACAGATTGCAGGTAAAATGTTCCTCTTACACACACTTCTTTCAGGATGTGGTTAGGGTTGTTGGGTCAGCTGTATGTATTTAAGTTAAAATTAATTGTATTTTCAGGGCTATCATTCTGACAACAGCTTTATTGTGACACAGTGGCCTATGCAGAGTACAATGAATGATATCTGGAGACTTCTGTTTGATTTTAAAATCAATACTTTCGTAGTGCTTCATGAAAATAAATTTAACAGGGTATGATTTTGTTTTTATAACTTAAGCTAATGAAGAAGTTACTAAATAGAATTATTATTTTGCTAAATGTTTGTCTGTAGTCTAATTGTTAAACTGTCTGTAGACCATTTAAGTATATTTATATTCTGAAATACATTTGGTACAGTGGTCAAACTGAATGAGGATGAATATGTTGTCTTGTATTATGCTTTTATCATGTCATCATGGGCTTATAAGCCTTAGTTGATTGAAATGTCTGTCTATGTCAAATAAGAAGGTTGTTGCCAAATATTATTTTATTATGCCCCCACCCCGAGACATATAGTTTTTGTAAAATCCTTCCGTTGGTCTTGCTGTATTGTCCATTACTTTGTCATATATTGATGTATTTTGAAGTAATTTTGTATAAATGTGTGGCAATGTGGCATGTGCAACATTTGGGTCTGAAGCTCAAAGGTCAAGGTCACACTCTCAAAGGAAATTTTTAATGAAAATGCTTTGATGTTCATGTCCAATCAACAATTCTGTCTTTCTGGATGGATAAAAAATTATTATGCATAAATGTGTTGGACATAATGACAACATGTTACTACCATGAATCAGGTTTCTCCCTCAAAGGTCAAGGTCATTCTTATATTCCAAAATCATGATATGAATTATTCATAAAAATGCATTGATGGTTGTGTCTGGTAAACAATTCCGTCTTTCCTGGATGGATTTTAAAATAATTTGGCATAAATGTATAATGCATGATGATGATGTGTCGCTTATAGGGGTCAGGTATCCAGTTCAAAGGTCAAGGTCACATTTGTATGACAAACTTGACGATTATGAATAGATTCTCTTCTTTTTGTGCATAGCTTTGAAATGATTATGCATAAATATGCTGCTTCTTAAGATGATAATTATGTAATGAACAGAATTTAGATCATCAGCCCAAAGGTTTGATTCATACTTGAATGTCAGACCTTTGTTCACCATCATGACCCCAACTTGTAGATAGGTGGAGGTAACTATATCAAATATTTTGACAATTATGCCCCTTTTTTCGACTTAGAATTTAGATTAAAGTTTTTCTAACACCTCAAATATTTTCAAAGTCCAGTGACATAATAATGGCTTTGAAACTTTGCACACTTGTTCACCATCATGCTCCCAACCTGTAGACAGGAGGAGGTAACTGTATCAAGCATTTCAACAGAATTATGCCCCTTTTTTGACTTATAACTTACATTAAAGTTTGTGTACCACCTCAAATATTTTCAAAGTCCATTGGCATATGGCTTTGAAACATGGTACACTTGTTCACCATCATGCCCACAACCTTTAGACAGGAGGAGGTAACTCTATCAAGCATTTTGACAGAATTATGCCCATTTTTTGACTTAGAATGTGCATTAAGTCTGCATACCACCTCAAATATTTTCATATTTCATTGACATCTTGCTTTGAAACAATTTGAAATTTTATACACTTCTTTGTGTGCATAATAGGACACTCTCAAGGCATATAACATGGATTTGTAAAAAAAAAAATAGCCCTTTTGGGAACTTTGAAAATTTTACATTATCAAGGTTCTTTTACTATCAAGCACTTAGAATAGTCGAGTGTGCTGTCCTACCAACAGCTCTTGTTGAAATAATTGGACTCACTGAGAATAAGAGGAATACAGTATGAATAGAGTTTCAAATTTAAACCAGTGTAAGGCCATTGAAAAGTTTTAATAACTTAAGAGATAGTATAGAATCAAAGATAATTTGATTATAATTACAGAGTACTCAATGTTTCTGGCCCAAGGTACTAGATGAGGAGGTGAAATATGGACCAATAGGAGTAAAGTATCTTGGCTGTCAGAAATATCCGCACATTATCATCCGAGCATTTGCTATTAGAAAGGTATGGTTGAAGTTTGAATTAGTAAAATAAATCCCTCTGTTTAACCTGCTATTTGTTAAGAATAACCGTTATACTTTCAGCTTTTATAGCGCATATAACAGGGTGGTCAATGTAGAAGGATAACTTGGGTTTTGTTGCATAACAGTTTTTGTGGCCTGACCTTGAGATTATAAAAAAACTTTCCAGATATCTGATTCAGATCTTATAATTTTCATTGGTCAGTGCTCATTTTGTGCAGATTTCTGACCAATCAAGAACTTGACATCTGAGTTTGACCTTGAAAATTTATTTATATTTCTTTACAACATTTCACCTAGAAGTATGTATCAGTGATTCATTAATACAGTTTTTTTATGATTTAATTGAAAGGCACAAAATTTTATTTCATTGACCATCCTGATATTCAACTCTTCACTATTTGCCTCCAGATGCAAGTGTATTGCTTAAAACCCTAGTCAACCTTGTGAGACAGCACTTATTGGGATATTTACTATTCAAACAATAAAGTCTTTACCTAGCCATAATAAAACATTGAATACGTCTTATAATACTATATATGTGAGGCATCATACTAGTAAATCATTTACTTAAAAGGTAATAGAAAAATACTTTGAGAATTTGTTTGCGAATTGTGTATTGTTTATCATGAAGGCAATAAAAGATGATTGAAGGACTCTACCTCTTGCCCCTCATTATCCTTATTGTTAAGGTGTACCACGGTGTACCAGATCTTTGGCTATAGTTTAATTTTAGCTTCATTATAAAGAAAGTTTGTTGCTAATTTGAACTACTCTTGAGTCAGCTTCCTGGAACTGACTTGTAATGTTTACAAATGAGGAATCATGCTTGACCCAAACAGGACATGAATGTATCATATGCTGAAACCTTAACAGTTAAGTTTATTATTACTTGGATGTCAAGAAGAAGTATATTTAGCTAGTTTATAATAAGTGTTGCCTGAAAGTCTAGGCAAAATACTTTGATCTACTTGATAGCAAATCTTGCTTCAAAGTCCTGACAAAATACTTCATGCTTAGTTTATAGCAATATCTGGAAAAAAGTGATCCCTCGGAAGCACCAAAAACAGCAAAAGTACATGAAAATTGCAGACTCAGTTTGATTGAGTCTGTACATGACGGATAATGAAAAAAGTGCAACATCCCTCACACCCCCTAAGCAAGTCTTGCTTTGACAAAATATTTTATGCTTAGTTTATAACAAGTAATGCTTCAAAGTCCAAGCAAAATTGTGAAGCTCGATTACAGTTATATGCATTGCTTGAAAGACCAGGCAGTATACTCTGAGCTACTTTATAACAAGTGTCCAGCAAAATATTTTGATAAAGTTTATAACAAGTGTGTAGACAACAATATATTTTCAGCTTGTGTTACTTGAAACTACAGGCAAAATACCTTGTACTAGTTTATAATAAGTGCTCACTCAAAATATTTTGAGCCACTTTATAACAAATGTCGGGATAATATATTTTTAGCTTGTTTTATATTAAGTGTTGCCTCAATATCAAAGTCCTTTATGTGAGTTTTAAGGTGAATATACAAAAAATTTGTGTCAATCCGCAATGTTTGTTTCTTCTGTTGTTTGCTTCTCCATGATTTTGTGTGAAACAGAAACAGAATGTTTGTTGCCATGACAGCATACCTTTATAGTTTTCCCCACCAAAAAAAAAGCCTGATCTTAGTATATATTCTTTATTGTATCATGAATATTTCAAACTCACAGATAAATGTTTGCCATTGTTCTGCTTATTGACCTTTGACATTGTGTGTCACTTCACAATGTAGTGTATTTATTGTTTATCTATATGTATGTATCTATGCAACTGTCTACAAGGTCAGGATTTCATGAAAATGTTCAGAAGAGAAAAAACAACAGCAAACACAAAAAAAGATTTCCATAGATATATGTAAACAAGTAAATATAAAACTTATGACAGTAGCATTGACTATGAATTTTCAGCTTCCGAACACCCGATATAACGAGCTTTTAGAAGACTTGGATATGGACCAAGTTTCGGTAACGAAAGTTTCAGCCAGATTGGCTGACTGTTGTGTGGTCAAGAGCACTTTTAGGCATGTTATTATGTTGAATATTAATAAGTTTTTCTCTACAAAGTTTGTGCACATGAATGCTGCGGACCATGTTTGTTACATGTTTATTATTGAAAATTTTTTGTTAATTAATGTAGTGTTTAAAGTGTTTGATTATTTTATACTGCATTTTATTTGAATGTTTTTTGTTTTTTTTCATACCGCTCTGAAGAAAGATAGATATATTGTTTTGCTTATGTCAGATAGTCAGGTTTTATACTGACTGTTTTTGATGGCCTTATAAATTTATATTTTTCTCATTAAATAGATTTTTTTTAAAAAGATTGAAATGGTCTTCAAGCGAAGCATTTGAGTGCAGTGACAAGAATTAGGCATTTATAGCCTGTATAAAACTAGGTCAACCTGCACATTCAAACAAACAAACAAACCAAACTGTATACTGTCTGCTAATCAATGTCTGAAATTCTAAACAAGACAAGTCTTTTAGAAAAGACACCTTTACCTGTTAATGATGTCAATACAATTTTTATAATTACTTGTTTAGTTGCTATGAAGATTAACCCTTACTTGGCTATTTTGTGAAACAGACTTGACCTCTGTGAATTCCATATACCTGTACAAAATATTGCAATACATATATACTACAACAGCTGTGCAGGCTGGCCAAGTCTTTTGACCTTTGTAGAAGAAAAAAGAGCTATTGCTACTGTCATGTTGTTGTTTAGGTTGCTGTTGTCAATGAAGTCTGAAATTTTAACATTAGTCATAATTTCTTTCTAATTCTTAATGGATTGCCTTTATATTGGACACAACAACTCTTTGGACAACACCTTAAAGTTGACAAGACTGGATTTGACCTTCTCTCATAGATGACATTGACTTTATAGGTCAATGTTAGCTTGATTTTTGCTTTAACTTTGTTATTTATGAATGGATTGTCTTTATGTTTGGACACAACAATCCTTTGGACATGACCTTCAGGTAGACCAAACTGATTATGATCTTCACTCATGATCGTTAATGACAATGACTTTGAAGGTCAAAATATTGAATTTTGCTATAACTGGGTATTACTTTGTTATTTATTAATGGTCTTCATACTTTAAAAGCACAACTTCCTAAAAGACAATATTATAAAAAAGACCAAACTCAGTTTTAAGAACACTTTTATTAACAAAACTGACATGTTGACTAATTCATATATAGCCTTAGCCTATAAATGACCTTGAGGCTTGACCATCAAGTCAAATATTGAATTTAGCTTAGATTGTCACAACTCTGTCGTATATTAATGGATTTTATTCATTCTTGGACAAAAGAAGACTTACAACAAAACTGCTAAGATGATTCATTCAAATGTGACCTTGATGTTTGCATGACCTTGAACATCATGAGACATTTATGTTTTCTAGGAGTACTCTATATTACAATATTCTTCTTCCAGTGTGTTTGACTTAAGAAATAAATAAAGTCGAGCATGGCCCATGCTTAGCATTCATTGGCTTTTAATTTAAAATTTGTATTCCAGCTCTCTGAATGTTTGTAGATTTGCTTTACAGAAACTAATGTTTTAAAAATAAAATTGATATATTGTGATGGTGCTTAAGAATATTCCAGGGAAATCTACTCTAAAATAATTCTATTTGTAGGTTCATTTAGAAACAAAAAATTGAATTTTGATTGTTGTAAAAGCAGCAGATAATATTTTAAATTGATTCATTTTTTAAAAGTATGAAGTTATTAGCCCATTACGTTATATACACGCTTTTTAACGCCTTTTTCACCCCCCCCCCCCTTTTTGTTGTCTCAAATGGTGAAAAAATGCCTTATTTAGGCCCCCAACACTTGTTTTTGTTTGAGAAATGTTGTTAAAAAAAGTGACCTCTTTTTCGCCGCGGCCCCCCAACCAAAAGATACATTTGGGGGTTGCCAGAAGGGGGATGTGCCCCCTTCTGTTTGGGGGGATTGAAGGGGGGCAGAGTCCCCCTCATCGCCAAGAAACTTGTGAGAGGCTATAAATGACCCCAGATTGATCATAAGGTAACATGTAACCAACGCTGAAAAGCATTTGACTCTATCTCAATCCATTGAGAAGTTGCAGCACTTTGAAATCAATTTTGATGGAAAAAATCAACGCAAAATAGTGATTTTTGGCAATTTTGAGATGTCCCCTCGTTGCCATGGTAACAGAAAATTTAAGCCTGAGCATGTTGTTGCAAGGGCAATGGTCCAGTCAACATTTGTGCCAAGTTTGATTAGTGTTGAATAGTGATGTTCCGATTGTCGCAAGTCGCTGATGATCAGTTACTGTTATGTAAAACGACAATAATCAATTCACAAAAACTTGTTTCACGACATCGTCGAAAATGTTTTAGTATCAAAGGGAATTAATTCTGACGGTAATTTTCTTTTAGGAACACCTCCCCAATCGCAAAAAATCACTCAGAGACCATTTGGAGTTGAACAGGATCAATAAGTGATGCAAACAATAATAATATATAATGTGATGTGAATGGTATTATTTCGCATCCATTGAAAAATAGACTTTTTTTTGTACAATTATGACTATATAAGGTTAAAACTGTGTTAAAAAGTGCTAAATGAATTTCATGTTACTAAATATAATCAAGTGCCTTGGAAAGAAATGTTACTTCACTATTTATTTTTAACGCGACTTTATTCGAAAGTTATCGATTATGTCCCATCAGACTGAACCGATGATCGATTGGTACAAATTTCATCCAATTACCATCACTAGTGTTGAAGCAGTTTTTATAGTATTATAGCAATTTGAACTTGTAACGGGAGACTTTTCAATGAAAACAGCCATTTTTCACAAAATGCTCATGAAGTAATGGGTTAATAAATGGAAGTGTAACATGAAATTTTTGCAGCAATAATCCTATTTGATTTTTTTTTAAAAAAGGTAACAAGTTTTGTAACTTTGTAAGTCAGTGTTTTTTAATCAAAGTGCATGAATTATTTAAACTTGAATTTTGTAGATTTAAGTTTGATTAAAATACTTTTTTTTAATTAGGTAGAAAATATTTAGAAGGATTAAATTTACCTGTTCATCCCTTCAAAAAACTATTGTTTATTAAAGTTTCAGAGAGGAAAAAAGGAAACATCAACTAAAAATATTTACTATACAAACATAATTTTAAAATGGACTTAAAAGCATAACACTAGAAAGTCTGTCAGCCAGACTATACATGTATGTACTTCTGTGCAGTCTGGCCAATCTAGACAACAAAAGTTTAGCATTCTTTAAATATTAAATGACCATGATTATACATGTATATAAGAAATAAAAGTCCAAAAAATGAATGGAAGACAGAATCTGGTAATAAAACAAACTCAAGTGATAAACTAGTTCCAAAGCCAGGTCCTATAAGTTCCATTAGTTTGCTAGGTCTTAAATTTGTTGTACCTATTTATTAGCAACCAAACATGAGAAATTAGATTGATCAACTGTGCCAATGGTATATAACCAGACCAGACTGTCTATATGTCCTGTAATGTAACAAGGTCAAGGAAATAGAACAATAGCAGGCCCTAATAAAGCATGACTTGTCCTTTGACAATGTCAAGGTAAATTAGCATGACCAGCCAGCCTGCTCAAAATTAAAATCCTTTGGATCAAATATGAATTCCAAAATAAAAATAGATTAAGTCAATTAAACAAATTCAATAGAGTAATACAGCATGATAAAAAGAAGCATGACATCTACACTTTGATTTTATTCTAGGCATGTAACTATAATTCATACAAGTTTTTTTTCTTTTCAACTATTTTTAGCATGTTTATATTAAAAAATATTGTACTTTTAGATTAAAGAAAAATAATATGTGAAATAACATGGTTTTATTAGTACCTGTATAAAAGGTGAATGCTTTGTGCTATATAGATTTATTGTGACTTTGAAATTCTTAATACGTAATACTAAAAAGGATCTTGCTTAAGGAAACCTTCTTGCAAAGTGATATAAAATTAATGAACAACTTTCTATAGTAATAATAAAAGATGAGAAATGTTGTGATACTGATAATTATGCTGTGTCATAAATAGAAATGATAAATATGATTAATTCTTAGATTAAATTCTTCACAATCATGTCACCTATTATAAGGAGAGGAATGAACCAAGTCTATTACTTATTCCATTAGTCATTATGGTATCAAATACTGGTGATTTTACTATAAAAAAACAAACTATAGGCTGTATATACATGATCCTGTGATCTGCTGTGACAAAGCTTATTTCTGTTAAGAAGATTTGTTTGAATTTGAATATTGTAGTATTCAATAAGCAATCATACAATCATACGTTAAACCATATTATAACAATATTACAGAAAGCATCCAGTCTTCCACTAATTGATCTGCTGACACAGAACACAGACTCGGTGGTCGTGAAAATGTTTCAGTATACAAGCTGGCATCAACGAGACAAAATTCCCACATCAACCAAGTCTTTCCTCTATATGATGGGCTGTGTGGATGAGTGGCAGAAAAACACAAACTCACAGAGTCCCATCTGTGTCATGTCAAAGTATGAACCTTCATTTTTCAAAAACAGATTTCCTAAAATAGAAAAAAAATGTTCTTGGAAATATTTGCAAACTGCAGCCTCTTTTAGCTTTGAATTTTGTTGTAAAACTGTTCCAATCAATTTCTGCTGAATATGTTTGTTTCAATAATGTCATTGTAAGTATTTTACTGTCTTTTAATAGTAACATGCTTAAGAACTACAAGAAAGCACCTGCATAAATTCAGGAATATACCTATGGCTGAATACAGTAATACATTAGATATTAGGTACATTTGTACCTCAAAGCCAATTTACAAGGTGTCTGATGATACCTTTGGTATTGATCAGATTTTTTATTCCATTGAGTCTGATGTGCATAATTAAATAATCAAGTTCTCTGAAAAAATTACAGGTATAATCATCCTATTTGATTATCTAGGCAGTGACAATATCATTTGACTGAAATGTTTGAGACTTTTTAATCAGTCCTGACAAAACCATTCGGTATACCAGTATTTAGCAAAATTTTCAAAATATGTACATAATGAATTGCAAACTGTGCCGACCATGATTACAAGGCACTGAGGTGCATCACAACACTGATGTGCCGGCTGATTTTGGTCTGCACTGGTGGCATGGGTATACAGCAGACTAAGGATTAAAGACACATATATGATTGAAACCCATGAATTTTTCTGTGTGTTTACTATATGGTATCAATATATCATGTGAGTTGTCCTCCTTAAAGGAGCTAAAGTTAGTCAAAAAAGTCTAAAAAGATAAAATTTGAAATTTTTATAAGAATAATAGATTTTAAATTGAAAATTGATATTAATAAGTTCAATTCTTAGCTCAATTTTGGGTCATTTTGCATGATAAAAATGATCAGTCTGGAAAAACAGATATAGAGAATAATCAGGAAATTTGCACACACGTTATTGGTTCAGACCTACATCAAATGTTACTTAAATCTTGGAATTATATTTCCAGTCACATTATTTCAAAAAATTTCCATTGAGTCCCTTTAATGGTGTTCATATTTTCATGTTTATACCTTTCAGCAGCTAATGCATGTAATGATAGGGAAATCATAATTGATTCAGGCAATACTGTTTTGATATTTTCCTTATAATGGATGGAAAAAGTATAGATGCATACATGTAGCATTACATTATTAGATTTTATTCCCTTTGTTAGATTGTACAATGGATTATCTGATTTTATAATGTGATTTTTTAATGACTATACAGGGATGGCTACAGTAAATGTGGATTGTATTGTACATTGAACATATGTTGCGACCAAATACATTGCGAGAAAGAAGTAGACATCTTTAATGCTGTAAGAGTGGTCAAGAAAAATAGACCTCAACTTATACCTACGCAGGTATATTTATTGTTATTTTTGTGTGTTTGTAAGGAAAACTAAAATGTCAATGATAATTATGATTTCAATATCAAGTGGATGAAGAATGACTTTTTTCTTCTATGAATGAGATATTGGGTGGACAAACTTATAATTTTGAAATATTTTGTTTTAATCTTGTTGAGTGGCAGCAGCCATGACAACTGATACAGTCTGACTTGACCAATCCATATATTCTTTGTACCATTTAAGTTGACTACTATTTAGCATTCATGACATTACAAATTGACAGGAGTCAAGTTTGTGATCATTTGTTTTCATTTTTGCATATTGATTATAGCTACAATATGTGGTTTGAGTTATTTAAAATATGATATATTTTTTCAGGCTGAGTATATTTATTGCTACTCTTACATGTCACTTGTTGTACATCTGATGTTGGAGGAATCTCCCAAATTATTGCTAACTTCTCCTACTGTGATAGAGGGTGAAATTCAGCAGGGTTATGAACTCTTGACTGGTTTTGAAAATATTCTTTGTCCTCAGCCATCAGAGGAAGTCAACAAAAATGGAACCAGTCTAAAAAATCTGAATCACACAAGTGCTTTCTCAGCTGGTTTACAAACTGATTCAAAAGATTCATCATGTGATGCTTTAAATACTCAAGGATTAGATTCACAAACACTTTTAGGAGGTGAAAAAGTTAATGAGAGTGGTCACAGAAAATCCTCAGGAATTATGACAGACAATGCAAATGGTCATATTCATAAAAATGGCCGCATGCATATGCAGAAAGAGGAGAATGTGACAGCTCCGGCTGCACCGGGTCACATACATGTATGGGATCCGGAAACAATTGCTCACTTCAACGAACCTGCTTCAGCAGAGCTCAAAATGCCAAGACGTCAGAGCACCAAAAGACGGCCTTTTTATCGCCAGAATGCTCAAGAAATGAACGAAATTCGTGCAGTAGACTATACAAAATCATTTGATATGGACATACTAGAGTCCAGTTATTTGTGATCTTTACTTTTTTCTCATGTTTCATGTTTTCTTTACTCATATTTTGTCTTTTTTGAAAATCAATAACATTTTTGTGTTCAGAATGTGTATAGAAATGGTTTTCCCCCAAAGTATGACTTCTATGCTAAATATTTATTATATTTTGCTCAAGAAGGTTAAGTAGAGGAAAAGGTGTTAAAATACAGGATTGTATACAGTTTTTTTCTTGAAAAAGTATATGGATACTGTTTCAGTTATATAATTCCTTTAACATTACAGTTTTTGCAAAAATAAATTTGTATCTGATAAAACATGAAATATTGTTACTATGACAGTTAATTTGTATTTCATATTTTTTTTGTGATTCTAGTTAACCTAACATTTATGCTCAGAGAAAATTATGCTTGCTTTTTATGTTGCCAGAAATGTTCTATTGGAGAATATTTTTCAGTTTGTCTTTATTCCTTGTATTATTCAGTTACATTTCTTACTGTTTTTTCTTCCATCTCCATTCTTTGATATCTTAGATATTTAGTATGTTGGTACCTGGCATTGACTTCTATGATTGATTTGATTTTCAAGTTACTGAGACTAAAAATAGATTTTTTTACTTTTTCCCTGAATGCAAACATTACATGTTATTATCAGACCTTCAAGATCAAGGTCACATTTATTAACAGATATTTGGTACCTTACTGGTAATGCTTAATGCTAATCTTGCTCTACTTTTCTCATTGTTAAGAATTTATAAATTTGATAATAATTTTGTCACAGATAAGGTAATTTATAAACTATTTTATTCAGCTTTACAAATGTGAAGGTGATTTCATTTGGTTTCTTATTTACTCATAGAAATGATATCTTTATAAAATGTTCATAGTATCATACATGTATTGTTACCTCAAAATCTTTATTGAACTTTAATTTCCAAAAAAGTATCTTCTGTTCAAAAATAAATTTGGTACAAAATTGATTGCACATAATTATGATGTTACACAAGTCTTAGATTTATATTTCACACAAAGGATGACTTGCTTGATCAAAAAAAATTCTTTTAATTTATGCTTTTTCTTTAGAAAGAATGAAAGTTAACATTTAGAGATGCTATTTACAATACTGATAAAGAATTGCTTACTGTTGTATGCTAAATTTTTAAAACATGACCTGCATAGTTTTTTTCATTATTTTACAAAACAAACAGCTCATATTTTCATAAAAGCATGTTTTTCTTAGAGCCTTTATGGTGTTTTTTTTACTTGACAGCACTTTGAATTTCCTTTTACATTAATGTTATTGACTGTAGCCAGAATAGTTATGAGGTTTGTAAAATTAAACCAGAATTATTAGTGGAAGTTGACAGTGTGCTAAAATGTATGTCACGAAAACGAATTTAATGCTTGATAATTTGTCTATCATTGGTATGACATACAAAAGAACTGGTGATAGTATGAGTGTCACTCCATGCCAAACTTACTGCAATAGATTTGCAGCTATTACTGGGCTCATCATAATTATGCTTAGCATACTGATGAGAATTTCTCAAAACTAAAGAAGTTTCCAATGGCATATAGCCACTGTCACCACTGTGTCAAACATTTGATACATAATAATGCAAAATCTAGTGACATATTGTCTTTATGTCACTTAACTTTCACATTCCCATTGTTGTTAACAATTTATTGTACATGCCTCCAGATGACATTACTGTGTACAAGTCTTTGAAACTTGAAATAGATCACAGCCAATATTATATCTTCTATATATTGGTGTTTGCACATGTACGGTGCGGTCTGACCAGACATTGGTGGTGGCACCTACTCCCTCTGACCACACAATAGTGGCACCTGTACAGTCTGACCAGACATTGGTGTATGCACCTGTACAGTCTGACCAGACATTGGTGTATGCACCTGTACAGTCTGACCAGACATTGGTGTATGCACCTGTACAGTCTGACCAGACATTGGTGTATGCACCTGTACAGTCTGACCACACAATGGTGTATGCACCTGTACAGTCTGACCACACAATGGTGTATGCACCTGTACAGTCTGACCAGACATTGGTGTATGCACCTGTACAGTCTGACCAGACATTGGTGTATGCACCTGTACAGTCTGACCAGACATTGGTGTATGCACCTGTACAGTCTGACCACACAATGGTGTATGCACCTGTACAGTCTGACCACACAATAGTGTGGCACCTGTACAGTCTGACCAGACATTGGTGTATGCACCTGTACAGTCTGACCAGACATTGGTGTATGCACCTGTACAGTCTGACCAGACATTGGTGTATGCACTTGTACAGATTGTTGACACCTGCTTGGTCTGACCATATATAGATGTTGTCACCTGCTCAGTCTGACCAAACATTGGTGTTGGCCCCGCATAGTCTGACCACATATTGGTGTTGGCACCTGCACAGTCTGACCACACAATGGTGTTGGCACCTGCTCAGACTGACCACATATTGGTGTTGGTCATGCACAGACTGACCACATACAATATGAAAGCAAAACAACTGTTATTTGAAAGTCAGTTGATTGGCATTTGGAGGCATGTAACATTAAATTAATGTATGTACATAAATGATAACTTGTTACTTTCTTTAAATCATTTTTCACTTTTTAATGTTTTTTCAAGTTCACGTGTTTGTCTTTAAGATTTTCCTGTACTTTTTTGTAAGTGAATGAGTATTAGAATTCTGCTCACTCTTTGTAATAAGCATGTCTCTGGTCACAGGACTGACATCAGCTATTTTGTTATAAAATACAAATATATCACGATACATAATATTATAACAATACATCTTATACATTAGATAACTTTTACAGGAACAGAAAAGAGGGTGTTTCTTGTTTAATGATTTGATTCATAGGCATCAAAAAAGCCCATGTAGGAAGATCAAATCATGTCTTATGATTAACCTTTAAGTGATTTGTTTTGTCACTAGTAAAGAACAAGTCCAGCTTGAACATCCAAGCAAGCTCTGTATTGCAGGTAGCTTAATTTTTGTACTGAAATCCTTGAAACTTTGAATCAACTGTTCCAGCAAGGCAAGTCTATTACAAATCTTCAGCTGGTTATTTAAATGAAGCATACAGCCAAAAGTTTGTATAGAATAAGGAATTGATAATTGTGTCAATTGTCTCTCATAAACACAGTTTTACATAAGTTTGTGGTCATCATGTTCAAATTTGTAAATTCTTATAAAGGAAAGTTATAGTTACCATTGAGTCTTTTTATTGGTTGCCTATATTTCCAAAAATACCCTCAAGTCTTTTGAATTATTCAAAGAATAAGTCTTGAAAGATTTCTGTTTGATATATGCACGACTTTATTTTTTAGGTATATATTTTTCTGTCAAGTTTTTCTAACACAGTTTCTACAAGAAATTATTGAATGTCTACAACATTTATATATACATTTGCATGTTTTTTGATTCTGTCGAAGAAATTGATGTCAATTATTGTTGATATGAGTGACTCATTTTACCTTGTGGAAAATTAGCTATTTCAGTGTAAAGAATATCTTATATGCTGTTCAAAATTCTTGTAAAGGGGAGGGTATTTATTACGTTTCCTGTAAAAGTTCTGCAGTACATAATGTTATATCTTTAGGGAAAAATTTCAATAAAAATGTACATTCATAAATGTTTTTCGGATTATTTTCTAATGATAAATTGAGATATAAATGTTAAGACAAAAAAGTTGTTTTTCTCTGATGGTATCCTGTGATCATAGCTTTAAACTAACTGTTAACTATAAATATTTGTACCTGTCTGTTTTATTGTTGCAGATTTTTGTATTTTTATACATTTAACAGTCAGTATTCTACCTAACAAACGTTTGTTGAATATTTTCACAGTTTTCAAATCATACCTTTTTTTATAATCAGATAATTTGTTAACCATAATGCACCTAACAGTGTAATATAATTTGAAAAGCAACAATTCAGTCGTTGTCTTTTTTGTCTCTTCATGACCATGATAAATATGAATAGTATCTGCGAAATGTCCGAGTACAATGATGTATCTCCAAATTCTAGCTAACTTGTTCTCAGAGGAGCGCTTTTGTGTTAGATAGCATGATGCACATTGTCAGTTGGGGGTCAATATCCATTAAGTTTCCTTATCTATGTCAAAGGTTGGGGTCACACGTAGAGGTCAATGAAAATGCCTGGGGCGTTGTGCATGTGCACTTTTCTATTGTACCAGTAATTTCGTCAAAAAAAGGAGTGAATTACGACAAAACGATCTCAAATGTCCTTTAAGAGCACAATTAATTTCCTAAAAGCAAAGTATTTGGAAGAAAACGAAAATTTGAATTGAAAATTAGTGGAATCTTTATTTTTAAAAATAAGCTAGATCCCCCAACTTTTTCTTTTATTATACATTGAAGGGAGCTATTTGTTTATGAGTATGTTTTGGGTTTCCAGAGAAGAAATATCTTGCCCCAAAAGGGACATAAGTACTACCCTTTAAAAACCTGATAATATTTTAAAAATAAAAATTATTTGTATCTCTTTAGGGAATTTTAACCAATGTGAATGTGCTTAATTTTTGGGTGATCTAACAGGTAAAAATCATTACCTTCATGATATTGATACTATGTATTATTTTAAAAATGTTGTCATGGAAACACACATTTTTAACAAAGCAAATTCCTCTGCAATTGATGTAATTCTAACTATCACATGCAACACAGGAAAGTCTGATGTCGGTATCGGTGACTGACACAATTTACATTGTAGTCGTTACTACAAAAAAATAGTTCTCAAACAAAACCTAAATAAAGACCATACAACAATTTAATGAGTTTAATTTCAACACTTGATTAAGCTAAATTCCATTCCATGTTGCAAATATTTTGATGGTTATTTATACTAGTCTTTATACTAGTCTTTAAACACTTTCAAGGAAGTTTTAAATGAACATACTCCAATAACAACTTAAATTAAGACCATTGAGACAATCATTAAGAAAATTGCTATTTCAAAAATCGTTGGGGAACGTTATGCAAACAAAGAAGAAGAAAAAAGAGCCGACGGGAAAATATTTCTTTGAAAGATATAAAGATAAAATATTACCACTTCTTAACCATTTTTGCCATGAAAATAATAATACTTAATGAAAATGACACCGTAATATCTCCTCAGAAGGAAGTTAGTAACATTCTGTTAATATTGCTTGTGATATTGGTATAAGAACTGAAGAACTTCCTAGCGTCACAAATATCTCAGACTCCTCCTTCAATAAAAACCTTCAAATTTGTTCCAGTGAGCACTGATCAAACTTTCAAATTGTTAAAAATGTAATACAAAAGATCATTTGTGTGGACAGTCTTCCACTAAAGGTAATAAACGCAGTGGGCGGATGCTCTGACAAAACATTTGAAGTAACGTACCTCTCATGTACTTTAGTCATGGTCGTTTCGGGCTGATATGGAATATTTCCCCTGTTCCTGAACTGACTTAGATTTATGGCACCGGTTGATTAATATAAAATGGATTTTTAGTTTGACAAGGTAAGAAAATATAAAAAATGGGTCAAAGACAGAAAAGGCCGAGTTGCATATGTATACAAAATATCATGAGCCGTGAATTGTTACTTAAATTTTCTACCACTGACCATTGATGTTGAAAATTAAACTAAGTCAGAAAACCGGAAATGGATGAGCAACAGAACTGAAATGGAATCCCACAATATGGGACCACATGTCAATGCTGTGAACCACATATCAAGAGGCTGTGGTAATTAAGTAGTTGCTGAGAAAACTGTTAGGAAAATTTTCTACCATTGACCATTTATGTCGAAAATTTAACTAAGTCGGCAAACAGGAAGTGGATGAGCTACAGACATGAAATCAAATCCCACACCAAATATCAGAAGGCTGTGATAAGTAGTTGCTGAGTAAACTGTTACGAAAATTTCCTGCCATTGACCATTAATGTTGAAAATTTAACTAAGTTGGAAAACAGGAAGTGGATGAGCTACAGACATGAAATCAAATCCCATATTATTGGACCACATGTTAATGCTGTACGTATGCCAAATATCAAGAGGCTGTGGTAAGTAGTTTCTGAGAAAACTGTTACGAAAATTCCCTACCATTGACCATTAATGTCGAAAATTTAACTAAGTCGGCAAACAGGAAGTGGATATGAGCCACAGACCTGAAATCGAATCCTATATTATTGGACCACATGTGCTGTATGCCAAATATCAAGAGGCTGTGGTAAGTAGTTTCTGAGAAAACTGTTACGAAAGTTTTTTCCCCGCCCAACATTCACCATCGGGACAAATTAAATCACTATGATGGAAGCTTAAAAGAGGACTTGTTCTTGCAATTTATCGTAATTTGATGCGTACATATATATTTCAGGTACAATTTAACAAAGTTGTTGTATTTATTAGCTAAAATGGTGATATTTACAGAATTGTAAGAGAAATTTTATTTTTATATTTCACTGTCATCAGGGTTTGAAGGACCCTGCTGCCAGTTATTGTATAAAAATCTGTTATCTGGTGCGGGATGCAGTATATAAGTCAATCTTTTGAAAAACATAGTTAATTTAGCTCAACTTGACAATGAAAAAAATAGCATATTGCCATTTGAACGGAGCCGAGACAAAAATTATCCCAGAACTGAGAAGATGGTATTTTCTGTCTAAACTCTCGGCAGGCTGTTTGTTGTTGTTTTTTTTAATCTTTTCGGGAAAAGGAACAATTCTTTAAACAATCGGAACATCTCCGAATACTGACGGAAAGGGCCTAAAAGATGCGATTCATTGTTAGTTTGGTTTCTATTTTTATCTGACACATGATCAAAAGATGGCGGCTTGGGATAAACAGTTGCAAGATTTTCTTATATACAAAATAGGGACATTATGTGCAATTTCTGGAATAATATGGTTTTTTCGAGAACCCATTCGATACCATGTTACTCAGCGATTATTTGCATGGTTTATTAACAAATTAACGAATAAAATGAATCGTGGAATGAAGAAATACAAAACAAAGATTTTCCAGTTTGTACACGACTATCGGGAAAAAGTAAACAAAGACCTGAAAATTTTGGAAGTCGGCGCGGGCACAGCTGCAAATTTAGAATTCCTTCCATCAAATACCAAGCTTTTTATGTTAGATCCCAACCACTTTTTTTTGGATAAATAAAAAAAACTTGAAAAACCCCGAAGGATAACGAGAAATTATAAAGGGGGTGGGAAAAGCCCCAGACAGGAAGTTTTAACAAAAGTTTTTGGGACACTTGTTTGTGTTCGACAATGGGCACTTTGAAAGAAATTAAAAGAGTGTTAAAGAAGGTAAGTATTAAACCATCTTTATAGTTAATTTATATCAGGGGTTCTGCTGAGTTGAATTTTTTTTTGGAAGTGATGGAAAAAAAACATAACAAATTTCTTTGACTTTGAGAATATAAAAAATTATGTTTTTTGCTACATGTACATTATTTTAAACCAAATGCGGACCATTTACAAGTTGACAATCTCTATAAATGATGACTGTTATTAATCACAGATTAGCAATCAATAGACTTGTTTTAAATGATTGTCAGTACTTAAACATTTGAGCCGCGTCACGACAAAACCAACATAGTCGGTTTGCGACCAGCATGAATCCAGACCAGCCGGCGCATCCCCGCAGTCTGATCAAGATCCATGCTGTTCACTTACAAACCCTTAACATGTAGAGAAACTGACAGCAAACAGCATGGATCCTGATCAGACTGCAAGATGTGCAGGCTGGTCTGGATCGAATGTCAGACGTTTCACTCCCAGACATTTCACTATTGAGACGTTTCACTCCCAAGACGGTTCACACCTAGACGTTTCACTCCCATTTTGTCAATTGTATGGACGTTTCACTCCCAATTTTTAGAGATGTTTACTAGGAAAGTTTACAAATTTTAATTTCATTAATATCAAACAGTGTAAAAAGGAAAAGCAATTTAATGTTTCATTTTGTTGATTTCAATGGTATTGTTGATACGAATTATTAGAAGATTATTCATTTAATTATGGGTAAAGTGATAAGAGGTGTAAATGAAAGACAAATTTCTGAAGTATCTCTTTTATTTTAAGTGTAACATGAGAAAATTCTATTTAAAGTAAATTAAAAAATTTGAATAACATAGAAAGAACAACAAAGACATTCGCGTCTGTGTACCTACTGGTAAATATGTTTTTATGAAACCAACTATAAATAAAGATTATCTTATCGTATCTTATCTTATAAGTTTAAATTTTGAAATCACTACCAGTAAAGTAATTAATATTATTCAAATAATAAAAAATATCAATACATTAAATATATTGACTATATAATGATTACTTTTTGTAAGTCTTAAACAAATGCGGAACATGTGTATAAAATAAATTATTTTTTTTAAATTATTTTCTTCATCAATTTATTAAACAGAAGCCATTTAACCCATTACTTCATGAGCATTTTGTGAAAAATGGCTGTTTTCATTGAAAAGTCTCCCGTTACAAGTTCAAATTGCTATAATACTATAAAAACTGCTTCAACACTAATCATACTTGGCACAAATGTTGACTGGACCATTGCCCTTGCAACAACATGCTCAGACTTAAATTTTCTGTTACCATGGCAACGAGGGGACATCTCAAAATTGCCAAAAATCACTATTTTGCGTTGATTTTTTCCATCAAAATTGATTTCAAAGTGCTGCAACTTCTCAATGGATTGAGATAGAGTCAAATGCTTTTCAGCGTTGGTTACACGTTACCTTATGATCAATCTGGGGTCATTTATAGCCTCTCACAAGTCCAAAATTTTCTTGGCGATGAGGGGGACTCCGCCCCCCTTCAAACCCCCCAAACAGAAGGGGGCACATCCCCCTTCTGGCAACCCCCTGATGTATCTTTTGGTTGGGGGGCCGCGCCGAAAAAGTGGTCACTTTTTTTAACAACATTTCTCAAACAAAAGCAAGTGTTAAGGGCCTAAATAATGCATTTTTTCACCATTTGAGACAACAAAAAGGGGGGGGGGGTGAAAAAGGCGTTAAAAGGCGTGTATATGAAGTAATGGGTTAACAAACTTAAGTAATTGTGGTGTTATCTCATCGCCTAATTAGTTGTATAAACACTGAGACAATCAACTAACAGTTTGACACCACTATTAAATCAGCTGTATAAACACTGCACTTAAGCATCAGCAGTTTACTAATCAGTGGTTTATTGGACCATTAAAATATTTTTTGACAACAGACAACTTAAACACAGAAACTTCTCCATAAGTTGTGTTTATATGATAATGACTATTAGTCACAAAAAATGACAAATATTGAAAAAGTCCCAATGCTTCTAATTTAATTTAAAGATATATTTCTGATTTAAATTGTTTGACATATATCGCAAAAGCACTATACTAGCATTAATTAATTTAACTTTTTTATTATCCATGATGTTTAAAATTAACAGAACAGAACAGAAAATATACTTTATTTCTGACTTGGGCTCAACACCCATCATCATAACATACATATACATGTATAATTATTACAATGCATGCGTCAAGAATCATATCATAACAAATTCAATCAGTCATATTCAAATATTATGACATAGCTAACATATTGATTGAGAATGCCAAAAATAAATTTCTACATTAATAATATCATATTGATATGCTAATCTACCAAATTGTCTCGTCTTTCAAATGCTTTAATACAAAATAATGCTAATTTTCTAATAACCAATTTTCTATCTGCGTTTAACAATTGTATGAATTTATAAACACTAGGAGTAGGATTAACAGTAAAGTATCTTGAAATGTACATACTTCTAAAATCACTATAAATTGGACATATTAATATAAAATGAAATTCATCCTCTATATCCCCGGACGTACATAATGTGCATTTTCTCTGACTTCTTTCAATACCCCTGTGTCTTCCAGATTCAATATGTAGTTTATGGGAACTTAATCTAATTTTTGCAAGAACTGATCTGTATTTTGCATTTTCTAATAATTTAAGATAAATAGACCTTTCATATTTAACTTTAACATTTGAATACAATTGCAAGGAAGAGCATAACGCCATGTCTGCTCGCCATTGGGTTACATATGTCCCAGTCCCAATGCTTCTAATTTAATTTAAAGATATATTTCTGATTTAAATTGTTTGACATATATCGCAAAAGCACTATACTAGCATTAATTAATTTAACTTTTTTTTTATCCATGATGTTTAAAATTAACAACAAAAAAATATGTTACTCAAAGTTATTTGTTGTCACAAGATTGTTATGCTTTAAATTGAAATTGCCTATTTAGTCCATGTTTACAAAAGATCAAATAGTTAGTTATATTAAAGTGTTATTTTAATCAAAATATTTTTTCTTTAAGTGAAATATTATGTGATAATTGAACATACGGATCAAAGAATAGAAAAACTGTAAACATCTTATTTGAAAGAAGATAAGATAACTGAAATGATAGAACTTAAATACTGAGTTTTAAGTCATTGGCAAAACAGTGAAATCCCCGTTTTTAATTTATTTTTATAAAATTTAAGGTCTATTTTAGTTCAAGTGATTATTTTAGGTCTATTTTAGTATATTATATTCATAAGTATCAAAATAATTTTGGTATAAAAAGGGAGTGAAACGTCTTCAAGACATATATCGCAAAAGCACTATACTAGCATTAATTAATTTGTCTTAAAGACGTTTCACTCCCATTTGGGAGTGAAATGTCTTGGTGTGAACCGTCTTGGTGTGAACCGTCTCAATAGTGAAACGTCTGTCTACCGTCTGGATCCATGATGGTTGCAAATCCATTTTGTTGGTTTTGTCGTGACACAACTCATTTGTGCTTTGTCTGCAAATTATTTCAATCTGTAGTAAAATGCAAACTAATTTGGCTTAGCGCTGCAGGACACCAGAACATGTGAACTTTCAAAAAGTACCCCCCTCCCCTAATAATCGTAGGCTAAAATGAAAATGATATCTGATTGCAGGTTATACAATATAGGCCATATGGCAACTATCCAGCTTTACAGGTGATGGAAGACCTCAGCTGCCCCTCTGGGTATATTTCAGACATGAACAGGCACTTGTTTAGACTCAGAACCACCAATGTTCTTTAAGTTAGCTGGATGCAAGTGGCTTCATGACATGAAAGAATCTTAAATCCCTTACAAGTGGGATTCGACTCAAAGCTGTTAGGGGCAAGTGGTTTGAAGTCAATTACCTGAACCACTTGGGCACATACACCCCTTACGAATCATGCAACAGCTTATATAATTACTTGTTACCAATAACTACAAAGTGTACCTTTATTTAAGATATAAATATCCTGATGTCCAGTCTTTCAATTCAAAACAATATTTTTGATAGAATTAGTTCTTTAAAAACATAATGTTCAGAGCTTTCTTTTGCTGTATTTTAGGGTGGACAGTATGTATTTCTGGAGCATGTTGCAGCAGAAAGGAATTCATGGCGATGGTTTTCTCAGTGCATCATGAATCCCTTACACTGGATCTTTGCAGATGGCTGCGAGGTGAAAAGAAATATAGATAAGTTCATTAAAGAAGCAGGTTTCTCGGATGTTTATATGGAAAAGTTCTACCCCAGGAACATGCCTTTTTGGATAAAACCATGTATACTTGGTATAGCCACTAAATAGAATTAGATGATTCTTTTTAATAAACCTTTTTATTGTATCAAAAACATATACATGTAGGTGTTACCAACACATCAGGTGAAAAATATATTTGTATTGGAAAATGACTTTTGATTTAAGTCAAACTTGCAATGCTTTATTACATGTAATGTTAAGTCATTTGTTATCAATTTTATGTGTTGTCTGGATCTTAATTAAGATACAGGGAATTAAATCAGGCAATATACACTTTACTAAAGAATGATTTATACTGTACTAAAGAATGAATTATCTCTATAATTTAGACAACAAGATTTTTAAGTTGATCTTTTATTCTATTCAGCAAAAAAGTTATATTTTTTATACTATGAGTTTAGTTTAAACCAAAATTTTATTTAACTATTTGTACCTTTGTTAAGATTATTAATTTTGTTCAAATGCTTTTTTTTTGGATTTGTTAAGATTTATTAATTTTGTTCAAATGCTTTTTTTTTGGATTTGTTAAGATTGTATCATATTTTATCTGTATAAAGATGCATTTTTAGATAGCTTTAAACAATTTAACATAGTTACATTGTTTTTAATTCACCCGAGTGCTTAGAGTTCAGCTATTTGTGATGGCATGTTGTCAGTTGTTATCCACAATTTTCTTCAAACAACATCTCCTGAACTACCAGATGCATTTTTGATTAAACTCATTGAGTGACCTTCAATAGTTATATGATTGGTTGCTATCAGATACACATTTAGATGCAGGTCACCCAAGATAAAAATTGACTTTAAATAAAAATGAAATTTTTAAAAATAAAATTCTCCTCATAAACTGAAGTGCCAAGAGCTAAAATATTTTGCATGTAACATCACCTAGTAGTCTCTACAAAAGTTGTATATGTCATACCTATCTGGTAAAAATTTGCTTTAAATCTTCTGTGAAAACTCATTGTACTGAGCATAGATATTTGGCATGACTGTAGAATTACAATGTAAGATCACTTTTGTTACAATAACATATGTGAATAATAATTGGAAATTATCTTTAAAAATCTTTGATATTTGGCATGGTGCATGCCATGTTGATCTCTGACTCAACAAAAAATGACCCTTGTTACCTACTGCATTAAAGAATTATGACCTATTTAAGCAATGAATCTTAGGTGAGTGCTCTAGGGCCATCATGGCTCTCTTGTATAAAAAGTTACATTTTTAGATAATTTTTAGTCTACTTTTAAAGAAAAAAGCAGAGCTCTTGTCATGACCAACTTATCAGTGTTGGCCTTCGTTAACCTTTTTGGTTAAAATTTCAATAATGGTTATTACCTTGAATACTAATAATTCTTAAACATTACCACTTTATTATATGAATGCAAGTTGGTGAGTTCTTTCTATCACATCCAATTTCAGGTCAATGTCAAGGTCATTTGTTCCTATAATATGTAATAGTCCATATTTTTCATAAACAATCAAAGCTATTCAATTAAAATTTGGTATACATTTTCATCAAAATATGACACCGTTTCATATGGGCGTATAAACATAAATTAATATTTTGTAAAATATGCCCCTTTTTGACGTAGATGTTTCTGCGTTGGTCAATCATTCTTGATAAGAGTCATGTCTCAAAAAACACTTTAAATTTGGAAGTTATTTTTCACTTTCAAAAATATAATATGTTTGTAAAGGATAAATAGCCATGAAAGACTTGTTTTTAAAAAAATCCCAATTTTGTATCTTTTAATTATTTTCCTTATTTTCTCATAAACCATCATAGATATTCGCTTCTAACTGGAACTTTTTGTTTGCTTCCAAGGGCAGGTAATTCTGCTAAGCAGTTTTTAAGAATTATGCCCCTATACATGTACCTTCTTTGATTTTATGTTCTCTGTATTACTGAGAAAAGTGGAGCATGCTGCTTCTGTGACAGCTAAAAAACTAACTACATGTAGTTAATTATAGTTCTTATTGTCTTTAAATTGTATATACATGTATATATTATTGTTTATCCATTTCATATTTTAATCAAAACATGTCAGTTACAAACTGATAGAAATGTCTTTCTTTTTGTGTTCATCAAATTTTAAAGGTTTATTTTTGAAAATTATGAAATTTTAACAAGAATTTTAACAATAAATTAATTCTTTTAATTTACTTCAAACCCTGTTATGCCTTAAAATTGTTTATTTTTATTTCTCAAAAACCTTCTATCTTTGGTATCTTGTCACAGTTTCCAAAAAATACTCATTTGCCATATACATAAACTATCTTTTTCTAATTATGCTCTGCTTGCAAATGGTATATTGAGGGAATTAGTACTTTGTATGGAAATCAAAATCCGATTTGATTGTTTGTTTGGTGTATATGCAGTTTTGGTTGGTCAAATTAATCAGCTTTCCAGGAAAACAAACCAATAACTTCCAATTTTTAGCAAATGACCAGTGACTAATCCATAATGATTCCTTAATTAGAAGTGAGAGATAAATAAGAATTAGAATAACTCTATGTCTGTGACCACTAAATCAGATAATTAGATGCTTATATCAACTACATGTTATTATAATGCCAGTATACAATTAATTTAGGAGAAATTAGGTGATTTTAGCTTTCAAACTGAAAGTATTCAATGTCATAACTAAAATTTTATCATTTTGTGTTGTTCATTATCAATTAAGCACAATGAAAAATCAGTTATTGTGTAATGTAATAGCTGGCTGGCTAACTTTCAATTAATTTTGACTGTAAGATAATGGTGGCATATTATCGAGATAGGCTTATTATCAAGACATGCTTATTATTGAATTTTTAGGGTATACTAAAATATATTTAAAAAGGTGGGAAAAAGTCATAATGTCAAAATAAAACAATTATTTAAAAATTTGCAATGATAGGTAAATTAATAGGAAATTATTTTTTTTAAAAATCATATTAAGTGAATGTAAAATGACAAGTACATAGCAACATTTCACTTTGAATAATTTTTAAGTACATTTTAATATTACTGTAAATGTTTATGTTTTATCAAGTTTATGTTTTATGTTTTATCAAGTTTATGTTCAAGAATTTAATTATTGTTAAAAAATATTGTTTTAAATTGAAAATATGTCATAATATAAAGTTTATTTATCTATTAGTTTTTGTTTATTTTTCCATTGTTTTGTATGCCATAATTAAGCTAATTGAACCACCATATCAGTATGGCAGACTGGCTTTGAAAGTTTTATCATAACAGATTTTTTTGTGTCTTCATTTGGTTTTTACTGTTGCTTAATTTATGTTTCAGTATCTTTTTAGAATAGAATATACATAATATACATGTAAATACCATTAGGGGATGATTGATTAATCAGATTGTTAACAAATGGCATTGTTATTGTATTAGTTGTTGTCTTTTATAACTTTTAGAAATGACTATGACTGTTAATTTTTTTTAAAAAACCTATTTTTAAAGATAATTATGTACTTTTCCTTATTTATAAAAACATACCATTACATCAATTTCTCTATACCTATCATTAGTGTTATTTGTCTTTACTACCCATTAGAGGTAAGATGGAGGAAGCATATAAGTATGTCATTTTGACAATTCTTCTCTACTGTCACCTTGAATGACCCCTATACCTCTTAATAAATATTCATATTTTGATAAAAAGCTTACTGAATATTTGGATGGTATCATGGTTTATTAGACTTGGTACTAAATATTTCTGTTGAATGGAATTGCACCAGCACTGATTAGCTGGCAAAACAAAAAAAAAAAGACAAACACCTATTTTTTTGAAGGGCCATAACTCTGCCCATTCAACCAAAAACCAATGTAATATGTGCAAGTTTTTGAGCTACTGATCAATCCTGTAAATTTTCACTGAAATTGCATTAGTGGTATAAGAGGAGTTGTCTGGATAAACTTAAAAAAAATCAATAAAGGGCCATAACTATGACAAAAATTATTGAACCGGAAACTGCCGACGATATGCACAACTAGATGGTATTGATCATTCCTTCAAAAGTTGGATGAAATTGCATGAGTAGTTTTTGAGGAGTAGTCCTGACAAGTTTAGTGACAGACGGACACTCCGTGACAGATGGACACTCAGACAGATGACGGAGAAGTGACCCTTATATTTCGCTACTAGTCTAGGGGTGACATCAAAGAACCGTTTTGTCTAAAAATGAGTAGATAACAAACTGAAGAAGTGCTGTGGCAGTTTTAAAGCCAGAATAAGTACATGGCCAGAGTTTGGCTGAAATAAGTGCAGACAATTGCTTATTGTAGGCGAATGTGATATAATTTATTTAAGAAACTAACTCTTTATTCTTTTCTTGTAAAAATGGAAAATTTCATAAATGTCTTGGAGCATGTGTACATTGTACCTTTAAATATGATAGGTCTATGTTTAACAGCAAATTTGAATGAAATTGAGACACTTGCGTTCAATTCTACGCCATACTTTCACCGAAATGATATTATCTATGTGACTATGGCACGGTGAACACAAATATTCACGAAATCTATTACTCCTTCGTCAATTTAGTTATGACCATATCAGACATGCAGCTTTACTTAATATTTTCAAATCTTGTCTCAAAGAAATGTTTACTTAATATTTTCTATACAGAGATCAAAGTTTTTCTGTTTCACATATTAGAAACAAATGTAGTAATCTTAATGCGGATCTTTATAAAAATCATTTGCGAGATAACTCATTCTGTAGTGACTATTGAAGATACCGAACATTACTTTTTTAAAAGTTCCCAAATATAACGAAATAAGAGTGCAGTTATTCCGTTCAACCGCAATTTCCATCCTTTGAGCGTAAAAACCCTTTTTGTGTCGCCTTGAAAAAGGTGACATATAGGGGTTACTTTTGTCGGTCGTTGTCGTTGTCGGCGTCGTTGTCGGTGTCGGCGTCGGCGTCCCCTTAAGCTTGTCCGGAGCATAAGTCAGTCATTATAAGTTGGATTGACTTCAAACTTGGTATGCATGCTTCTTATAATGACCCGAAGTGCAGTGCATAAGAACCGGTACTCTGCACTTCCTATTTTTTGAGTTATTGCCCTTTGTTAATTTTCATACTTCATTTTTGTCCGGGCCATTTCTCTTAAAGTATAAAAGCTATGGACTTGAAACTTCATAGGATGATAGATCTCATTAAAAAGAAGTGCAGTGCACAAGAACTGGTACTCTGCATTTCTTATTTTTTGAGTTATTGCCCTTTGTTTATTTTCATACTTTATTTTTGTCCGGACCATTTCTCCTAAAGTATAAAAGCTATGGACATGAAACTTCATAGGATGATAGATCTCATTAAGAAGAAGTGCAGTGCACAAGAACTGGTACTCTGCATTTTTTATTTTTTGAGTTATTGCCCTTTGTTAATTTTCATACTTTATTTTTGTCCAGGCCATTTCTCCTAAAGTATAAAAGCTATGGACATGAAACTTCATAGGATGATAGATCTCATTAAGAAGAAGTGCAGTGCACAAGAACTGGTACTCTGCATTTCTTATTTTTTGAGTTATTGCCCTTTGTTTATTTTCATACTTTATTTTTGTCCAGGCCATTTCTCAATAATTATAAAAGCTTTAGACTTGAAACTTAATAGGATGATAGATCTTATTGAATTGAAGTGCAGTGCACAGAAACTGCTGCTCTGCATTTCTTATTTTTTGAGTTATTGCCCTTTGTTGATTTTCTAATTTCATTTTTGTCCTGGCCATTTCTCCTAAACTACATTGTTCCCAAGGCGACACATCCGACTCGCAGAGTTCTAGTGTTTGGAAAAGAATCTCTTTTTGATGATAATAATTTATGTTTTACTATTACCACGGTATATGTTCCTCCTTGTTAGTTAGATAATAACTGTACTAAATTACAAATGGCAACATCTCAGCAAAAGATTGTTCAGGTAATTTTCCAATGAGTAATTTTGAGCATTTTTTTTAACCAGAAACAAGATATTCAAAAATAAAAAGTTTTTGAAAAAAAAATGCATATCTTGGGCAAATGGGCCTTTTATTACAAGATATTCTAATAAAAAGTTGACACAGTTAAAAGAAGTTTTAAGGTAAATTGTTCAAATATGCTGCATCAGACGCCTTATTGAAAAGAAATGCAGGTACATATGTATGCACCTTATTTGATACAACATATGCCTCCGTTTTTTCTTAATTCTTTTGAAAGGTAAAATATGTGTTTAAAAATGCTTAAATAATGGATTAAGAGCATGTAAGATGTTGAATAACTGAAGAGAGTAGCACTAAACACTCGGTTATGTGTTAGAATTGAAACACATGTCTTCCTGGAAATAAACAACTTACAAACATGACTGAATGAAACCTATACTGGTGAGGCAAAAAGCAAATAAAATGGGTGATGCACTCTCGGTATAACCCCACTTTCACATAAACGGATGAGATCACTGAATTTTATCCCTATACTTATAGGATTCCCATCTTCCCGTAGAATTTCAAGCTTAATGGTTTCTGGTCTGGGAAGATCTTTTGACCGCAGTCTCTTATATAGATCAACACACTTTATAGGCCCACAGTATTCAGTTTGGTATATGAAAAGATTTAGTGAGTCAGACATTAATTTAAGGGTCTTCATACCATGCCAGTCAACTTTTTCATTATCTGTATTGATTGTGAAATTTTTCAATTGATTTCTCAAACCCTTAAAATCAAGGAAATCTGAGAGACTCATTTCGTTAACCTGGTAAGGTTTAGAGCTTCTGGCTGCTATTGTTGCCGCCCACTGAGGGTTGTAAAAATTGACACTTTCCTGGAGGATGCCTCAACTGCAGCATGAATGCTATCTGCCTCATTTTGGGTATGACCTATAATAAGGCATTTGTGTAAACTTTTGCAGGCAATACCATGACATTGTTCAAAACATACTGCTTATTTTTATTTTGGGTTGCACAATTATCAGAATAAAAAATGATATTTTTTTTGCCTTCCTTACATTTTGTTTGAATAAAGTCAAACAGACAGGATGATATTTCACATGCTCCCCTACTTGCTATAGCTTCATTCCAAACATAACAATAACCTTGCTTGGATCCAAATTCATAAATTGTAAAATGAAATGTGCAAAGACGCCTCTTGTAGTAGAGAAAAGATTCATTTCTGTGTGGTGTAAGCAACACCTCTTCCAAATCAAAACATGCCACAACTAGATCATCATATCTTAAAGCCAACCCTTTGTCTGCATTTTTGTTCCCTCTTGCCTTTTCCTTGTTAAAAAAATAAATGACAGTCAAATTTCTTTTGCATTTCTGGCTGAGCATTTAGAGTATTTTTGTATGAACACAGAAATCACACCTATCTTTTATTTGTGTATGTATTATTTGTGTATGGAAAGCAAGACTGTACTCTGTCTGTAAAAACTCAAAGTAACTGGCATAACACCCTCACAAGAACATTTCTCTATATACAAAGCATACATTTTCTTAAGATTAAGATGAGCTGGTAAGTATGACTTACTAGTGTCCCTACGACAATAATGGCTCTCTACGCATTGAAAGGATTCGATAGGTTTCGACTTTTTCTAACATATGATCTAATACTTTGTTTTTTCTGTTAACATGCTTACCTCTCATGTCATCTTCACACACACCAGAGTTCTGTTCCTTCTTACAAGTTGTTCTCACCATAGTTTCTGACACACTTAATGTATGAAGAAAAAAGATTTTACAAACCTTAATTTGTCCTTTCTCTTTCGACGGCATAGTCCATATTACACGGTTTCTGAAGGAGGGTTGAATTTTTTTTGATAATTTAGGTTTATACGATGCATACTTACATAAAAATTGCCACTTCTTGGATGTGTCACTAAGCCTTCAAAAGGAATGGAATATATTCTCAATTGTCAGATTGTGAGAAGTTCTCTTTGCAATAGTAGCGACAACCTGGACCATATCTTGGTTTCATTACTTTTACACCATTCAACTTACCTGTAAACAATGACACATAGCTTTTACCTTCATTCTTGCGTCTTTTCGCAATACTTCTTTTCCAACTGGCCATGTTTCTTATCCTCTTTCTCCCTCTCCCCATTTTTGGTCTCTCATCTGTGTCAACATTTTTGCTCTATTTGGGATACCTGTGTGATCTCAGTGTCAGTTTATCTGTGTTTTAGTTCAATTAATGGGATATCATGAGCATCACCACCACCATCATCATCATCATCATTAAAATATACATAATCTTGATCCATAACATCATAATCATCATCATTAACAATATCATCAAACACATTTCACAAAGTTATTCAAATATGTTATGAGACATAAATATCAATGAATGGGCTATCATCACTCACTGTCTTCCTCTTTGTCCTTTACATGAGAAATTTCTTTTTGTTGTTATGAAGATGTGTTTATGTCATTTATTTATGTAGACAGTCTAGTAATTTATACGGGCTCTATACTGTGTCTAACACATTTGCATTATTTGGCAGTACAATCAATCAAAATACTAATTGATCTTCTTTCAACAAATTACAAAGTGATCGTTTAGATGATGTCCATGACAAATTCTTAGAAAGTAAGACTGTTCACGAGAATGTCATTTATGAGTCATCTGATCAAAAGAATGTCAAATATGCACGAATGCAAATAAATTACCACATTTTCATAGAAAAGACATAAATAAGATTTCACCTTGCATTCTAATTCAAAATCGGGTTTCTGTCCCTTCACCAGCTGTTGCAATTTTGCTTTTTATATTAATGTTCTCTTCTCCATGCGAAAACGAAAACACATTTTATAGAAAGTTAGAAGTATCTTATCTGATATTATGATAGATTTTCTTCATTTATTACTAAAAAATATGGACTTAAAGGTATTACTTCTGCCTACATGAACACAAGATACTTCTGTGTGTTAAAATCAAAACCTACAAAAAAGCGCTACGGGAGGGAAGACGTTGCTTTTATAATAGTGGCAATGATAGTAATTTTAGCAGAGACAAAATCAATGTCAACTGCCATAATATTATTCGTGGTAGTAGCAGTAGAAGTTAAAACGGTAGTACTGAAGCAGGAGCGAAGAAGCAGCAGCAGTAAAATTCGTGGAAGAAGTAGGAGAATCAGTGACAAAAGCAGTATTAGTTTTAACAGCAGTAGCAGCATAAGTTGCAGTATCAGTAGACTAGTTCGGTAGTTGTAGCAAGAGCAATACTATAGTATTATTTGTAACAGTTGTACATGTGAAAACAAAAGTAAAAGTCATAGCGGCAGAGAAGTAAGGATAATTGTAGCAATAGTGAAAGAAATTAGTATCAACAGTTACAGTGGTTGTAGTAGCAGAAGCAAAATAACAGTAGCAGAAGAAATAACGGTAATAGTAGCAGTAGTTAAAGTAGGAGAAACAACAATAAGAGGAGAAGTAGTAGTTGCAAAAATGTATAATAGAAATAGAAGTAAGGTAGAAGTAGCAGTAGCAGAAGAAATATAGAAGTAAGGTAGCAGAAAAAAAATAGTAACACAAATGATTTATTTAGCGAATAATATAACAGACTGTCAGGTATTCTGTATGAAGCCCGTCTTATGCTGGTGAGGTCAGTATATATGTACATGCAAACGATTTAAATTTGGATTTTTCAGTGTTTTAGTTAAATCTAATAGATTTACCAAAAGGTAATTTCTGAATTTGATGAAGTCAGGAGTACAGAAGTCAGGCACTGCAGAAAAGGTCATGTCGATTTTAATTTTCCATTTTACATTTCAGAATAGAATAATGATGAAACGGTATGGATAGTTGAATTACTCTTATTTTATTGAATAAGAAAATCACTGAATGATTATAATATGTATTTTGAGCAGCCCGCACATTTTTTCAAGGTTGTAGGTATATAAGCTATAAGTGGATCTTTAAAGTACATGTACATAGGTTCATATTTAAGTAGAACCTTTTACAATTAAGGTAGACCATGGGTAATGGGCACCATAAAGAACTGTAAAATTGACAACATAGGACAGTTATATGTCTTCAAGGTCACCTGTATGCAAAATTTAAATAAAATTTACCGTGTGGTTTATGAGTTATGGATATATTTCTGAACTAAGACTTTGCCATTAGAAGGGCTTATTTTCAGAAATGAGGAAACTGTAAATAATCTGTAATATCATCATTATAAAAAATGTTTTTCTATTGCTCATTGTTAAGAAACAAATAATAACATTCAGGTAACACATTACACAAGCAAAATGTTTGTTTCTAAACAAAATGTTCTTAATACGTATAAAAATGTTACCCTACCCCACCCACTTTTAACACTAATTTTACCATTTCCCTATCTAAATGCCTTATTCAAAATATCCCTAAAATTTATCGAAATGAGGGTCTGTTTTCAAAGTTTGCCTAAATTTTCTCAAAGGTATATTAGTTGATCATGCGAAATATAAAATATTTTTACCGTGTAGTTTTTATTTTATCGAACTTTGAAAATATCTGGTATCATATTTGCCATAAATTTTGGCATTATTTAGCCCAAAAAATACCTAAAATAATTATATAATTTAAATCAAACTTTTTTTCTTCCATAAGGGATCAGAGAGATACATAAATAATGTTAAAAAGAAAAAAAAAAAAATGCCCCTTCTGGGGATTGAACCCACGCCCCTCAATTTCAATGTAGTTTACAAGCGATTCTAGCCTATTTGAATACTCTTCAAAGTGGAGGTAATGCATTACCCATGGTCTACCTTAATTAATGGGTATAGTTTTTCAGTTGGTACGACGGTGTCTAATTGTAAAGTGTATGATCTTAAAATCGATAAGTTGTAAAAAAATAAGTTATTAGACACATTTGTGTAGTTTTTTGTTAATATTCCAGTTAAAACGTTGAGAAACATGTTAGGTTATCGCTTCAGAAGAAAAGTACTAAAAATAGTGTTCTTTATTCATATTTATGTGTTTCTATTCATATTCTATCTGATGTACAGTATGGATATCATGGATAATTCTGCAAGCAAACAAAAATCGGTTAAACCACCTATAGAAGGATATGAAATAAGTAAAACATTGTACAATAAAAACGACATGAATAGAACATTCAATCATATCAAATATATGAATAAAACATTTAAACATCAAAACATAAATAAAATGTTTTACTATCAAAGTGTTAGAAATAAATCGAAAGTGTACATTCCAAAACAAAAGATGTTTACACAAGGTGTAAATCATATGAAATATCGTGTTCAAATAGATCCAAATTTAGTTAAGCTAATCAATTGGACTAACCCAAAGTATCCAATGGACGTGAAATATGTTATAGAAAATAAATATCTCTGCGCGTCAGTAAGGAATTTGGCGGTTTTAGTTGTGGTGAATTCGGCAACAGATCATTTTGACCGCAGACAAGCTATCAGACTAACATGGACTAATGACAAATATTATTCACATCTTGGTACCGTTAGAGTTGTATTCCTTCTAGGTAAAAGCGCAAGCCTTGCTGTACAAATGGGCATAGAAAAGGAAGCTGAAATTTCCAGAGATATACTGCAGGGAAATTTTATGGACACTTATTGTAATCTAACACATAAAGGTATCATGGGGTTAAAATGGATCACAGAACGTTGTCGAAATGCTCAAGTTATTTTGAAAGTTGACGATGATTTTATGGTGAATATGTTCTTATATCTCCGTAAATTAAAAATGCTTCATGATAGGCAAGTTTATTGTGATTATAACTCTGATAAGATACCCCGAGAAGAAAACAATAAGTGGCATGTCAGTGAAGATCATTTCAAAGGCCAAACGCATTACAAACCATTCTGCAAAGGAAAATTTGTTAGTATGGCGAATAGTATTATTCCATATTTATATGAATCGGCGACTAAAACTCCATTTTTCCCATATGATGATGTGCTATTATTTGGCTATGTGATACATAATGTTAAAACGATAAGAGTTAAATCTCTAAAAATGGCAGACATGACCACAAGAAATTATATCGCAAGGAAGTGTTTAGATGTACGTAAATACAAGTGTACGAGATTTGTAATTGGTGCAGATAATGAAAGAGAAATGCGATATACTTGGTACAAAATTTTAAACATTTTTGGAAATGTAAAGTTTAGTCAAAATTCATCTGATGTTTATAAACGGCCATCATTCTTAAAAAACTTACAACAAATACATCATCCAGATGTATTTATTTGAAACTAATTTTCACTTGCAGTGTTATAATTGACCTTGACATCTGTATTATCTCGAATTTGCATTTAGTTTTGTTATTTATCGAATTCATATTTGTAGTAATGATATTCTACCATTTAAACACGAGACAATACAAGCTTTCAGGCAACAGCTAGAAAAAATGTTAAAATAGCCGAAGTGAACATTATTTTTTATAGATTTTGGTAGATTTTTTCCCTATGTGTTTGTATATAAAACTACATTGTATCCCTATTATAAGATTTTAAAGATTTTGCTTTCTCATCTTTTTATCAATTTTGTATTACCATTATATATTATATATTTATCGTGACTTAGTTCTTAAACATGCTGATGACAATACGGGGTATTCATATATACTAGGTGTCATTATTCTACTGCAACGAATGTCCGACCCAATTTAATTTGAAATTGATACAACCAGACTGTAAAAGTCTAAATTTCTATTGTATTTTTTTAAAGAATGCATAAAACACGCAGAACACTTACTTAATAAGTATTGTAAAAAAATGTTCTGTTTGGCTGACATGGTTTATTTTCAAACCATTAAAACGACTCGACAACCAAATTAAACGGTTCTAAATATTTTTACCGTTTGTCTTTATACACGTATTTTATATGACTACTGGGTGCGCCGATACTTAACATGTTCATGTTAATGTGAAAAGCATCAAGCAAAAGGAGGATATATAATCATCAACATTAAAAAGAGGAAACAAGATGTATCTTTAGAAAAAAAGATACTTGTCCGAAGTAAAACTGGTCAACTTCGAATGTTAGTTCTTAGTTTTCCATGTAAAGTCATATAGAAATGTTGGGATAGCTTGCATAAGAAATGACATAATAACTTCTTATAGGGTTTATCTTAACTTTAAGATGTATGTGTTTCTAATTTCGGTAAGTGAACTCAATTTCTAACACCAACATTAACGCAGTCGATAGGCAATTATTTTCATAAATACATGATTAATATGCGATAATATAAGAAAATTATAAATTGAACACATCAATTGAACAGATCAATAATCATATAATATATTAGACTCTTATTTAACATAATAAACTTAGGGTACCTAATAAGTTCTGATATTATTCTGCTATTGAAAGTCAATGGTTGCTATTGAAATTACTGGCTGTAAAGGCTGTAAAGGAAAGTCTGTAGTTTCTATGGAAATCACTGGTTGTTAAGGCAATGTAATGTTTGCTGTTGAAATCATTTGTGGCTTATTTAAATGGAGTACAAAGGCTATAATTTGAACAAACTTTGTAGCAGTCCACTATACATTTTCAGCACCAAATATCCAAGTTCTAGCCTTTGCGGTGACCATCAGGGTGGCCCCATTTTCGATATTATGGCCATAATTTCAACAAACTTGACTTTGACGTCTTATCTGTGATATATACATGATACTGTTCAACAATAAATTCTGATTATGATATGCAGGTTTCATAACCTGACTGTGATCCCCTTTCAAAATTCCATTTTGTTTAGTTCCGCTCATTGTTTTATCGTTAAGGGCACCAGCTTTCTTTACTTAGGTACCATACGCCCCTTTTCATGGAATGGCACGAAATTGTCACAGATAATCGCCCTATGAACACATCTGCGGATGTTTCTGTCGCGGGTCAGCTCAGTCAGGTAGGCAGTATCAATTGGAAATTTGGGGTTGAAGTGAAATGAACGCAACAAAAGATACGATCCTGTAATTATATATAATGCAATTTATGGTACATATACAAAAGTCATTATTTAATTAAATACACAATATTACAATTACTGACATACATGATTCATTAGAGTATATATTAATAAATACAAAATACTTTTATACCTGTAATTATATAAATGAATAAATACAGAAATGGATATATATTTATAGCACAAAATGGCTTTGTTATTGTTTTGAATAATGGCGGAGAAAGGCGTAAGAAGTTATGATTGGTTATTGACCCGTGCAAAAGTAAATCGAATTCAACGAAAAGGAGTTTGTAATACCAACAACTGCATATGACACCCTGTAAGAGTACCATTTAAAACTGATATAATTTGCTATGTGTGTGTATGTGTGTGTATTTAAAATGATATAGACCTTTTTACAGTACGATTTTTTCCATAGCAACGTATGTTGCATTTCGCGCATGCGCATTTTGCGTAGGGCAAAAGCGCAATAACGATAGCATACATTTAGCACTTAAAGTCTTTAAAAGGTGTGATTTCAATTTATGTCACTCAGAAAAAAAAATCTTAGGACGAATTTAAGCGGTAAGTACTTAAAACGTGAATTGATATTTATAACAGATATACAAAAAATTAGCGAGACTTATAATTCAACGACCAAAAGTCCTTTGTTCAAGGTATCATTAGGTGACTTTTTCATCAGTAATTTAAATTAGAACAGCAGGGTGTTAAAGATCACATTTTATTACCCATATATTACATAATATTACACAATTGGTATTCCTTTGAAGGCGGTAAGTGTCAAACAGATGGACACGTGACCGGTTGTTATTTGCCAACTAGTTAACAATGTCATTCAACTGGGTCGTTTTAGTACCATGACATTGTTAATTACTTAAAATAATTTACTTAAAATTATGAAAATGATTAATCGAAATTTAAGTAATTTTTATTTATACCAATCTCATCAATGTTTATTGATTTTGTGAAGTGACAAATAGTGTACGTGACGTGCATTTCCAGGACTGGTGTTACAAGGAACCGGACAAAATGTGTGTTATTCCACCACCCATCTTAACTTCACAAGAGTTTGAAAAATTATTTAAATATATTATGTGACTTAAAACAATTCTGTTTGGCATCTTAGTCAAGTTGGATACAGGATAAAATTAGCTAAAATGAAAACTAAAAATGCATTATATCACGTGTTCCGACTTTTTTTCAGAATGATATTTAACCTCGATTTTAAATGCTATTAAAATCTATATAAAAATGTTATATTTTATATGTAAAAAAATATTTTTCTTTAATATGGACGTGTTCAACAACGATTAAATTGACTTCTTTATTTGCTAATATATATATTTCCACATATTTTTACAACAATAATCTCAATGTCAGGTCAGTGATCGTAAGGGGGAATTCTTAAACAATCGTCTTTTCCATGCCTTTTTTGGGCAATCTTGGCCACAAAGCTATGAAGGCATCTTTTGTGTTTCTGTTAAAAGCTATTTTATATGATTTTCTAATTTTTACCTTAAACAAACTCGGAATTGTCTATGAATTTCTACTTCATTTCTATGTAGGGCATGGCTTTTTTTGCCCTACGCAAATTGCGCATGCGCGAAAAAATACTACTTCCGGTGATTTTTTCATAGCAACGGACCGCGTCGTAAAAAGGTCTATAATCTAGGATAGTTTATTGGAAAAGGTTAAGTATAGGTTAATAAACATTTGCCAGTACAATGTAATAAATACAAAAATAAATAAATAAATAAAACAAATTCAAAAATTTACCATTTACATATTTCGATGTGGAATTATGCTTAAGCCGTCTTACTATAATACAGGCACACGTAAAGATCAAATCCTTCACACAAGATTAAGATTAGGGTGTAGTTCATTGAATGAGGATCTGTTCAGAAGGTCTATTGTGGAAAGTCCAACATGCACATGTGGAATGAGGGAAACTGTATCTCACTTCTTATTGCAATGTACCAAATACAGAAATATACGCGAAAGATTTCTCACTAATTTAAATTGTCCGGCTACAGTAAATAATCTTCTTTACGGCAACGAACATCTCTCTTCTGGTGAAAACAAAACCCTCTTTCAGAATGTCCAAAAATTTATTACACAATCGAAGCGCTTTTTGTAAGAATTACTATCAGTGTGAATAAACTTGGTCTTTCCGTACGCTCATATTTCCTTACATGTTAATCTTAATTATTAAACTCCGATATATATATTCAATCATACCTTTCCTTACATTCTTCCTTTCTTTTAGCATTTCACCATAATTTACTTTTGATTTTCTATAGTGATAATTCAACAATCTATTATTCTCTTATTCTTTGTTGTACATTCAAAGAGCTTACATCTAACCGCAACATTTTTGTATCTTTATCTTGAAAATTACTTTTACTGTATAGGAATTGATATAAGTATTGTTTTACTTGTTTTCCAATCCAGTCTGAACTACATTGTTGTGCAATGTTTGTAAATGTCATTTATGTACAATTTATTGAATAAATAAAGTTTAAACTAAGCCGGTGCTAGGGGGCGTGGACGATAGTTTGTACTTGACAGTACCGTCCATGAACAGGCTGAATCAAACCGAGCCTGCAACATTTTAAATTTTGCCTTAGGGATTCCTGTTTTCTCTATTTTCAAGTCGCGAATAAACCATGTAAACTAGTATATTAAATGAGTGACTGTTTTGAGTTAGTTTGTTTCTTCCACTCAACAAAGAAAAATATGCACGTGCAGTAGTAAGCACTATGTACAATAAATACATGTTAATATATATGTTGTTTGTATACGATGGTGGTGGACTGTTGCCTTGTTTTCCTTGTCTATTTTGTTGTTGTTGCTGTACAATTAAGCATCCCTTTCCATTGCATTTAACTAAATTTGTTTAACTAAATTTTCATAGTAGGACTTGGATATCCTTATGATAAGTCTGACAATAAAATGTACCTGTGTTATTTGAACTGTATATTTTTATATGTTTTCTGATTGCATGTTTGTATAAGTTTGCAGCGGACAAAATGATTTAATTCGCCCACTCAACCCCATCCGCGCGCAAATAGTTCGTTTCACCTTTGCATTTGTACTTTATTTGTTTGACTCGACTTGATTTCATGGCAGCTACTTAAACGTTCATTTTTACTCTCATGTTCTTTATTATGGATAGGTCTGTGTTTTTTTACCTTATTTTCCTTAAATATACCGAGATACCTCGTTAGTTTTATTTATATCCGTCGTTGATATCCTTAAAGGCCCATTATGCCCCTCAGAAATCCTTTTATTTTATTTCTAAAAAGCGTCTATATATATATGTTTGGTGATTCAAAAAAGTTACTCATTTTGCCAATTACCTGAACCATCTTTTGATTTTATTGCCTTTTTGGCAATTAATGCACTTATGTAAACAGTGATATTGAATATTTTGTATGGAGTAAAAATAATAATTCGTTTACATTTTACTACTTTTATAACTACGTGTTACTTTCTTCAGGTGATAAGCATCTTAAATGTTTAAAATCATCATTCAGTCGCTATAAAACTTCAGTTAGCCATTTCTAAAGGACCAAATTAACGGTTTCTGAGGCATAATGTGCCTTTAAAATATCCATGTTAGATCAAAATCTCCATTGTAGCTGTTCACATACAAAACTAAACTCCATATGGAAAGTTTTAATTAAAATTTTCATGTTTTAAACTGATATAAACTATCGGAAATACTGTAAAGATAACCACAGATATATAAACATATACATATTTAGCTCGAACGAATCAGTCTCATATCAAAACGAACTATACATTGCCGCGTTTAACTAGATAACGGGATTTTTATATTATAACAAAATGGCTCCATAGCTCAGTGGTTAGAGCGCCTGTCTAGTAAACAGGAGGTCGAGGGTTCGATCCCCTCTGGAGCCTTTTGTAAAGTCACATTACATTGGCTTCTATTTTCTTATCATAAAATGATGAAAAGCTATCACATTGTTTGACCTTATTCAGAATGTTCATATCGACATTATAAATACAAAGTGTGTAATGCATTTTTTTCTGCATATTTTGCGGTTAGCAGGTTATAAGGATGACCACACTATATAACTATGTATCTCCTATTCAGAAGTTGTTCGACCATGTAGCAATTTTTAAATAATTCGGGAACGGTTGATATGATTGAATCGAGAAGCACGAATTGCTAAACAATGTTTTTGATACCCTCTCAGACATTGATAAAGTAGGGTATATTCTTTCTAATGCAGAGATTGTATTTTTATCTGCCTAAACCTGTTTAAACATGCTGAATAGAAGGAAACTAATTTTATAAAACTAACATTATTTTAAATAACTGTTTTTGTGTTTTAGATGCATTGTATTTGAGGTTTTTTATACTCGCCATCGGCTGCCCGGGTATAGGCTCGTCCTCCAGAGGTATATTAGTCATTTTAGATTTTAGAGGATAGTGCAAGATACAAATTCCCCAACTCCAGAAGCTTCTCCTGGTTCTTTGGCGTGCTATGTGTTTAACCACTCATGCTTGGGACCTCGATTTAAGCTTTCATCCGAAAGACTGTCTTTGTAGTTTTAGTTGGCCAGCCCGGGAATTGAACCCATGATGTCTCACGCTCTAATTGATTGAGCATGCGGACTAGCTAAGAAAATGCCTTTCCAGAGATTACAGTTTTATGCAAATTATCAGACTAAATATTCCATTGTTAATGTTTAGGTGCTAAATTTTCACAAGGTCCAAATGATAAAAAGCAAACATCTTGAGTGAGTTTCGCAACTTCTCCCAGTCCCTCCCGAGCGTGCACATCGCGGAGAAGTCACACGGCAAGTCCAGGTCCAGTCGTCTCAAGTACCAGAGATGATTGGTTGACCTGTCGTGACTAACTCAGGAGGGTGGCGCTAACAAGAGCCGTTTTATGTTTGATGCCTGTTTGCTGTCGTCACGGACCATGGTGCCTTGACAGTATTGTCTTTCCCCCAACGAACGAAGATTAAGTATAAGAAATACCGGCATGAAAAGACGTCCCCGATGTGTAACTTCTAGAGTGGACTGGCAGGACGCTGAGATATTGGACATACGGAATTTCCGGCGCCAAGCTAAAATAAAACTAAAATCATCATCCATGATTTTCGCATAGATATTATTACTATGCTTGTTGACCTACACCATGTTATATAATGCAGTGAGGCATGCTATTGATGATCAGCAAGCGTAAAGAGCTAAAAGTGATGTTAATATATTAACTTGTTTACTTTATACAAGAAAGTTGTACGTAGTGTATTTATATTATTTATACTGCATAATTATTAGTTCTGATGCGGAATACAGTGTTAGAAGGTAAATTCTACGTAATATTTTATTATCATAATTGAATTCTTGACATTATAATATTTTCATATCAATTTTCTGTTGTTTTTTTTTGTTATAATTGTAAATATTTGAACATATAAAGGTAAATACATACGATCTTGTTTATTCTGCTTTAAACCAGATGTTTGTTAACCAATATATCAGGTAATATTTTGTGAGGTATTTCATATACATGTACCTGTTTATTATACCTCAATACATCCTTCAATGTAAAACATAATATAAAATATAATATTAACTTAAATTATTTGGTATTATATTATGATATGCTTTGATAGTTAAATACCAAATATGAATAAATATGACTGTAATTATCCTTGTGACTTCTCCGCAATATTTACTGAATATTCAGCAGTGTGGGCAGTCTTCATTAGAATTGAGATTTAAATATCAAATTATGCATATTCTATTTAATATACATTTCTTTTACAGATTAAATTTCAAGAGAAATAATGTAACTGACAAGGCAGTTTATGTAAAAAAACACATAGAGAGGTTTACAAATATTTGTCAGACATGGATCACACTGTTAAACGCACGGTTAGTTAAAATATACAGTATAGACTATTATCCATAATAATTTTACATTTGTGTAATGGGTCTGTTTTTTTTTTTATAATGGGACGTTGTAGGAGTTTGATATAAATGTTTTTATTGAGTTTTCAGTCGTACTGCATACAACTGTTGGTTAGTTTAACATATACTGTTGACAGAAAATGTCACTGTTAGTATTGATCACAAAAAATGCATCAAAAATGATTCTAATAACATTACAGAAAGAAATGAAAAATGAAGTAGTTTCAAAAGTCATATTTATATGGTTTAAACAAACATTCACGGGACAACTTTGATATGGAGGCAAGAACTGAGCTGGGCTGTACTGTCGGATACCTAAATGTGCAATGATATAAAAGATTTTAAATATTTCAAAGGTGGTTTATCACCATGGTCCCTATAATCGTTATTTGTCTTTTTTTCTGTTTTTTTTTTTTATTCTACAATATGTGATTTCTTCTCACAAATTGATAATTTTGAGTCAAAATGAAGACGATTTGATTAATTAGTCTAGAGCCTTCATTGTATTGCTTAAATGCTTATAAGCATGCCATATTGTAGTTATATTTTTGTACATGTTTAATATACACAATATAGTTTTTTTATTCAATATTTCAGTTATCGTTAGAAACAGATATTTCCTTTTTGTTGGAAAACCTTCGAATCTCATCAGTTAGAGGTAAACTAGCTTTACATGTACATTTTTATACCTATGATTATAACTGAATGACGGAAATTCGTATCCATTTTTCCAATAATACAAATAAATATATTACAATGCCTATTTCGGGGAGATTTATCAAGCACTTTTAGTGTCATACTATTTTATTGTATAATTATACACACGATATACAATTTCACAATTATTAAGTGTACATACAAAAGGGTTGGGCCAAAAGTTCTATCAACATTAAAGTTGGCCTACCCGGGCCTGTTTCAAATACTTCAAATACAAATAGTTTTTCATGCAAAAATGTATTACACAAAATGCTTAAAACGACCAATCAATGATTCATAAGTAAGAAAATACTGAGAGGTATAATATACAAATAGTGTAACATATTAAAAATAAAAAAATATTCGTTGCATAATGTATTTAACTTAACAAGCGCCAATTGCCTTTCTTGCAAAGCATCTTCAGATATAAATATCTTTATTATTATTATTTCTATTATAGGTATAATACTGGCAATGGTGTTTGCACTTGTGGTGGCCGTCGTATTTCACACATTGAATTTTATACTTCATTTCAGAGAAAGACACGTTTTAAACAGGTATCTTTATACTTTTCTTTGAACGTTGATGCAAATTTTAAATAAAATAAATAGCTGATTTTAAATGTGCTGCAAATATGAGATTTGAATTTTTTAAAAAAACGTGACAGTATAATATTGAAGTCATGCTTAATGAAGTTGTAAAAACAGAATTTTATCATGCGTGAATTACTTTCGAGCGTTAATAAATAGAGCTAGGGTTAATGCACCTTTTAGTGCATTGAATCCTGCGCTATTCTTGCATAAAAGTATAAGTCTGACTCGGTAGATACACGTTTTGTCATTTGTTTTTTATGTATAAACAATTCTGTTTCATCATGTCTTTTACGTGAAAGTGGGGTGATATTTGACAATTAGGTGTAAATAATAAAACTAACTGGGTCGTCATAGCATTCAGCTTTTTATGCTCCCCGAAAAATTTCGGGGGAGCATATAGTCGTCGGGTTGTCCGTCCGTCCGTCAGTCCGTCCGACCGTACGTCCCAATTCGTGTCCGGCCCATAACTTAGTTATTTGAAGTCCGATTTTAAAACTATTTCACAGAAATGATCACCATATTGAGACGACATGTCGCGCGCAACATTTGGGTCGCTACCTTGAAGGTCAAGGTCACAGCATGACCTTGCATCAAAATCGTGTCCGGTCCATAACTTCTTTATTTGAAGTCGGATTTTAAAACTATTCCACAGAAATGATCACCATATTGAGACGACGTGTCGCGCCCAACATTTGGGTCGCTACCTTGAAGGTCAAGGTAACATCATGACCTTGCAGCAAAATCCTGTCCAGCCCATAACTTCATTATTTGAAGTCAGATGTTAAAACTGTTTCACAGAAATGATCACCATATTAAGACTTCGTGTCGCACGCAACATTTGGGTCGCTACTTTGAAGGTCAAGGTCACAGCATGACCTTGCAGCAAAATCTTGTCCGGCCCATAACTTTGTTATTTGAAGTCAGATTTTAAAAATATTTTACAGAAATGATCACAATATTAAGATGATGTGTCGCGCGCAACATTTGGGTTGCTATCTTATAGGTCAAGGTCACAGCATGACCTTGCAACAAAATCGCGATCGGCCAGTAACTTCGTTCCTTGAAGTCGGATTTAACAACTATTTCACAAGGATGATCACCATATTGAAACGACGTGTCACATGCACCAATTGGGGTGCTACCTTGAAGGTCAAGGTCACAGCATGACCTTGCAGCAAAATCGTGTCTAGCCCATAACTTCCTTATTTGAAGTCTGATTTTACAACTATTTCACAGAAATGATCACCATATTGAGACAATGTGTCGTGCACAACATTTGGGTTGTTTTTACACTTTGAACTTTGTCTGTGACATAACTCTGACACTACAAGAGGTAAACCTTCCTGTGTCCAAAACCTATTCGGGGAGCATCACCCAGTTCAACCGGCTCTTGTTTAATTAATTGACGTCCTGTGCATGTTATCTTCTCGGCTTAATGTTTACTGTGTGTGCAGTTTTATGCAAGAATAAATGTTATAGATCTCCATAAAGCTGTTTCTCTTATATACTTGCAGAAAGTCCAATTGTTATTATTTTGCAACAACAGTTTTCCACACGATATCAGCGTTCCTTGCTTACGTCATGGTTTATTGTGTTATGACGTATAACGTCTGGCTGTTGGTTTCTATCCTTCTTGGATCTGGCATAGGACAACTTATCATTGGACCATTTATATCTATTCGGCTTGAAAACAGCTACATTTCTGCAAAGAACGAGTCCAATGATGTACTTACCGACCTTCTACCGGAATATGATACTGATAATATTAATGATGATGTGAATAATCGCAACCTTGATCCTGGTAGACAAAATGGTGCTGTGAAACCAAATTCAACTCCCATTGAACTGAAAGATTTCATTATCAACAAACCGAATGAATCCGGTTATAAGAGTTACAATAGGAATAACTTGTTACCATTTACCGAGGTCGACGATGATCAAAAGTCGGAGTACGATAGTCTTATAAGTGATGTTTAACTTTTTATTTCACGTTTTTAGCTCTCCTCGACTATAGATAGAAGAATGGGGAGAGCTATTGTACTCACACAGGTGTCGGCGTCACACTAATGTGCAAGTTGGTATCTCAAAAGTTTCTGAAGGGACAGAATTACTGCCCTTTTTCAACTTAGAAAATTGTACATTACCCAAGCTCTTGTTTTAGTGTGGTCGATGGGGATGTCTTCCCGACAGCATTTGTTAACATATGGTCTAATAATTCATTCAATTTAGAAAAACCCTTTTTTCTTGCACCTGAATATAAGATGTATATAGGAAGGTTTAGTAAATGTTCTATACAGTACACTTTTTAGTTTAATAGATATTTGAATAAATTACTTTTCATGCCTATACTTATATGTTACAAATAAGCTTTATTTTTTTTGACGTCAATACTAATAAATTATATATAATGCTAATGACGTTGTCACGTACATACAGCACGTATGCGCATTACTGCTTTTGCTTATATTTGCATGTGTTAGTCATGTTTGATTGTTAAAATGTTTTTCTTGTAAAGGACTTATACTGTACTTTAGAAGTGTTTGTAATATTAACTTTTAATAAAGTGCATGTTTAATTCTGTGTATTTTGGATCATCCCTTGTACATGTATATCAGTAAATGTGATATGTGGAAACACTTTAAGGTGATAGCATATTTGTAATAAATTGTTTGCATATCTTTGTTAAAAATAAATTGATGGCAGGAAAAATATCAAATAACTGGTGTTTTGATATAACATACTTACATGTCAAACATAACATACTTAAATCTCAGTTGATTGGTCTTACATGTATTTTAAATGTATATGAACTTTATGTACTGTATTTGTAAACGTGAGAAAGAGACTGAAATAAACGAAATAATGTGAAGTACATGTATTAGTATATACACAACATTTATAAGTTATCTAGCGGACACTACGAACAGAGTGACAACGCCATAACATAATGCATCCACAAATACAATGTATAATAACAAGAGCTGTCAGGGGAGACAGCATGCTCGACTAATTAAATACTGGGCGCAGTAAAGGAAGACAAAACTATGAACAAAATTATGACATATACATGTATATATAATAGTGACCTCCAAAGGAACATTCCTTTAGTTTGGATGAAATTGGCTTAGCGGTTTATGAAAACATGTCCTTCAAAGTAAAATTTTATAGACGCTGGATGTCCTGTGATCACAAAAGCTCACCTTACTTTGTTACTTTGTGACAGAAGAGCCAATATAAAAGTTACAGGAAAAAATATTTTATTATGAACCAAAACTTTAATCTGAAATCTGAACGCCGACAGGGGTGAGTAGGCCTTTGTATATCAAACTAAAAAAAGAAAACGTTGTTG